CCTGGGGATTCTCAAACAGGATCCCAGGAAATCACACAGGGAGCTCAACAAGAATTAGGGATTTCAAGGCCACACACAGAGTTGGAATCTCTGGGGGCTGATGCTAAGAAATGTGCGTCTTTAGCAAGCTCTCCAGGTGCTTGGATGACACCCAGGTTTGGAAGCCACTGGCATGGTCCGCTGCTCCTGACCCTTCCCGGTGCAGACAGCCCCCTGGAGATCTTGCTCAAATGCAGATTCCATTCCAGGTCTGGGCGGGGCCTTCCGCGTTCCTGTGCTGATCCTCCGCCCACACTTGAAGTACCTGGACTGTTGTCCAACCTCCTCCATTTTACTGAGAAACTGAGATAAACCGAGTGGCAGATATGGGGGAAGCCGAGAGGGGACCTGCTGGGCTGGAAGAGAAAAAAAGCAGAGGAGGGTGGGAGCCGAGCGGAAGGCAAGTGGGAGGCTAGTTGGGCAGGAATGATGGTAAAGCCAGTTGCAAAGCCACCAAGCCTCTCCACCTGGTCATTTTCTTATGAGACAACAGTCCTGGGGTTTGTTTCCTAATGATTGTTGGGGCGTACAGTGGGAAATAGAACCCTGCATGGGTCCCCAGGCCCGAGAGTTTGCTGGGCAGCTGGACCGTAACTCCCCACACTCTGGCAAGATCGCCTTTACAGTCCGCATGCCAGCCTCTGGCACGTGATCCAGATGTTCCTCGGGCAGCCCTGACACCTACCCTTCTCGCCCCTGCATACAAGTGTGCACGCACACACAGCAGCGCGGCTGCGCGAACCTTGCAACAGGAAATAATCGCCCTGTCTCCTGCGGGCCCTGTGCTGGACACCTTTTATCCCGGCTCACATTCTCTCGAACCCTTTTTGCTCAGCAGGTGTAGGCCAACGGCACCTTGCCTTCGCTGCCCCTAGGTTTCTGGCGTTGGGGCTCCTCAGCTGGCCTTGCAGGGGATGCTCCTGGAGCAGGCCCAGCCATTCTGGCCCCTTGCAAACCTGGCGGTGCCAGGAAACGAACACTCCCTGGGGCAACCCTTAGCCAACAGGAATGGGAGCCGGGAAATAAAGATTTCCCTCTTCTGGGCCTCATGTGCCTGGAGCCCCAGTTGGCCCTGAGGGTGACCAGCTCATAATGCATGCGTGGATTGGCTTTCACTCCTGGTTCACTTTTCCCGGCCTCCACACTCCTGTTCCCTTTCGTCACTCCCTAAAATAAACTACCTGCATGAAAGCTGTCCCATCCCTGGCTCTACTTTTAAGGAAAACCAGGCTAACACGAGCCTTCAAGCAGCAGTGGCTAAATCCTACAGAGCGGGGAAGGAGGAAGCTGGAGGCTTCACAGAGGGCTGGTCCACAGCGACCCAGAATATTCGAGGCTCTGCCTAAAGCCACAGCCCCTGCCCGAGGCCCACACAGCCGTGCAGAGTTTTCTGAGAACAAATTATGTCTTGTCCAAAAAACAACGTAAGGTCCTGTGTGAGATGTTGGAAACAAGAGAAGGAAAGCTAAAGAAATGAGGCTTGTTTAGCCTGGAGAAAAGAAAGCAAGGTTAATAACTGACCTCACAGAAATAAAGTGGTTCTCAATGTGAGCCGATGTGAGGATGGAGGGAGATAGGATTAAGTCGGAGCTGAGGGCCACTTCGCCCATCAGAATCCTGCCAAGGTGGAATTGGCACCTCGTGGTGAAGTAATGAGCTCTCCATCATGGGAGGCATTTAGGCTTGTGATGGAGACTTACTGGGGATAATGTGGATGGTCTTCGTTCTTTAGATGAAGCTTTTAAAGTTGTTTCCTTTCTAGGCACCTTTTTAAACAGCATGGAGCCTTTTCAAACTAGTATTTTGGTTGTATGGGTCTGCCCCCAAAAAGGAAAATGTTGATTGGCCTATGACCTCATAGACTCCCCCAGTCCCATGACATAAACAACTGAATTATTAATGTATTGTAGCTCTGATGTTCCCCCCCCAACAGCAGGTTGTTTACTCATGAGGTTTTGGCACCACCTAGTGGCTCATTTGTTCCTTACAAAACATGTATCTCTCCTACGAGAGTATTAACTGCACACAGTTTAATACAAACACCCTCTTTGATTAATGCATCAACTCAACAACAATGTATTCAACACAGATTATGGGTTAAGCACTGGGATAGAACCGGGGGTGCAACCGTAATCAAATAGGACATGGTCTCACCTTTATGAGGCTCACAGTCTAATGGACTAGACAACAAACAAGTAAACAACAAAAGAATTAATGCATCGCGATGTTGTCAGGAAATAAACCTCTCATGGGAGAAAGAATAATGTTAGCAGGAGGAGGCTATTTTAAATAGGGTAGGTAGGGAAGGCGTCTCTGAGAAGCAAAAATCGAGCTCGGAAGGATGGGATAAGGATGGGAGAACATTCCGTGAAGGCAGCACACAGCATATGCACAATCATGGAGGGACCAAGAGCTTGGCTGCTCAGGGAGCTGAAAGACCAGTGTGTTCAGAGCACAGTGAGTGAGGCCCAGAGGGGTGCGATGAGATTGGAGACAGACAAACACGGGGAGTTCCATGTTTGGAAATGTTTCCTTAAGTGAAAGCACACAGATGGTTAGGGCAGGTTCTTCCAGAACAGTACCTGGTTAAATTTAAATTTTCAAAAAAAGAGGAAAGGAGAAATGTCTTGACACGAACTTGGCCATTTACTCAGCTCCAGCAGGACCCCAACGAGGGCCATCAATAACAGCCGTGTGCCCCGTCAAGATAGCCTGCATCTGCTCCCCACCACCCTGTATGGTCCCCCATCACCGAGAAGCTGTTTCTTTGGCTAATTACATTGGAACCCCTTCTTAAAGTCTGGAACAGTGGTTCTCAACCTTGGCTGCATGCCACCTGGGAGCAATTAAGAATCCCAGTGTCCAGGCCACACCCTTAACAAGTAAAACCTGCATTTCCAGTGGGGAAGTGGGGGGAGGCCCCACGCACTGGTGCTTTGAAAGCTCCCCAGGTGACTCCAATGTGCAGCCAAGGCTGAGAACAGCTAATCTGGAAGGATACTGGCCCAGAGAAAACAAAAAAAGACCTCATTTGATATTCTCAAGTAGTGAAGGTTGTGCAAGTAATGAGCCAGGCTGTTTTCCTTCACAAGACCAGGCCTCTTCCCAGTGGGAGCTACCCAACCCTCGACACTTGCTCTCCTAAGTTCCCACCTGGATGCTTCACAAATGCTGTCAACAGATCGTGAGCTGATGTTGCAGAAATGTATTTTTTCATACTGGCAAGCAGGCCTGCTACAGGCACGGGAGTTCTAAGGTTTCCATGGCCTCCTTATTCACTCACACTTCCCCAAGGTGTGGAAGGTCCAAAGAGTGACACCCCCACCACAGTTCTCAACCCAAGCTGCAAATCACACTGGCCTGGGGAGCTTTTAAGAAATGCTGATGCTTGGGCGCAAGCTGAGATTGGTTTCTAGGCTGCAGCTGGGCTATCAGGTGATTCTAATGTACAACCAAGCTTGAAAGCCACTGTTGCCACAGAAAAAACAGCACCTGTGTTCCTCCATGTTCTAGGGAGACCTGCAGTGACCAGAATCGCTGTGTAACTGGTGTCGGAGTGACCTGCAATTGCTTCAGGTTTTGTCTTATCCGCTAAGCAGCCCAGTCCTGGACCTAGCTCTGTGCTCCCTAGGTTGGGTTGGCTATGAGGAGACCAGGTAAGATGTCGAGGGAGTCCACATGCATCTTAGTGCCTAAAGGAGATGTACCAGAAGGTAAGTGGTTACATGTGGGTGGTAAAAATCCAGGTGATTTACATTTTGTTACTCTTGCTTATCTTAATTTTCTAATTTTTCTATGATGAATAAGTATGATTAATATAATAGCATTACTAACGTAATACAAAAAAAGTATAGGCCAGGCACAGTGGCTCACACCTGTAATCCCAGCACTGGGAGGCTGAGGCAGGAGGATCACTTGAGATCAGGAGTTCCAGACCACCCTGGGCAACACAGAGACCCCATTTCTACAAAAAATGTGTTAAAAACGAGCTGGGCATGGTGGCACGTGCCTATAGTCCTAGCTCCTAGGGAGGCTAGAGTGGAAGGCTCTCTTGAGCCCAGGAGTTCAAGGCCACAGTGAGCTATGATCCTGCCACTGCACACCAGCCTGAGCAACATAGTGAGACCCTGCCTTTAAAAAAAAAAAAAACAGCATACTATCACACAAAAAGAATCAATTCTGTTTCTTACACAACTAAAGTGTGTAGCTGGTCTCTGAGTGTTCAGCTCACAACTCTGCCTTTTAGGATACTTTCTGACTTTGTGAACCCTGAAACTGCTGCCCACTCAACAAGAGGTCAGGGGCCACATCGGACTTTTTTGGTAGCTATGTGGCTCTTGTCCTGTATCATGGGGTGCCTGGTAGGATCAAAACAAACACAGCAATCAATCCAATTGCCATAGAAAGTAAAGCCATTCCTTTATCAGTCTTTTTTAATGCATATGTGCAGATTGTCACAGTTCTTCAGAGTCTATTCTGTAAAACTAATGTTCTCTGGACAAGAGGTATGCAAAAACAAAAACACAAAAAGGTGTGTGGGGTGGAGTCCAAAAGATTTCTTTCCTATAGAAATTTGCAGAGACTTGACTACGCTAATATTCATTGTGAGTCTGCAATAGAATACTGTGTGTAGCTTTTCCCAAATTTATTTAGTCATGAGACACTTTTTTCCAGGAACAGGTGCAGGAACTGGTACTCCCAGGAATACATTTTAGGAATGCTAGTCTATTTTTTCAGTGCACAGCTTTCTGACCTGTCACCCACAAAGCAGAGTGATTGCAAATGTGTCCTGTACCCTGTAAAGGGGCCAGTGCAGTGGGCCCCAGCAGGGTGCAGTACAGAATGAGGTTAGGTGACTACATGGCACGATCAGACTTCTGCCATCAAGTGAGCTAAGCTGCAGATGAAGTGACTTTGAGCCTAGAAAACAAATAAGAAATGGTCCAATAAATATTCACAACTGAACATCAGGCGACATTTTAATTTATTCTGTTTACAGATGCCACTTAGTTACACTGGGTTTTTTTTTTTTCAGTCTTGTTTGGGTTGAACCCAAAGGTATTCAGAGGCATGGTGGAAGCAAAAACATCAGGTATCTCATTGGCTCAAGGTACTTTCTGACTACTTAACATTCGCTGCATCTTTCCCCAAATTCATCACCCACAGAGACATTTACTGCCAAATGCTACTGCAAAAACCCAGTGCGTTTACAAGAAATAATGCCAACTGAACATTAAAATTAAAAAAAAAAAAACACTAAGGCTCTGCTAGAAATTTATGGCAAGAAAGTAAGGACTGAGGGTACGAGTGAGACATACATGGCCACTAAAAGTTGATGAGCCACTGAGTTTCTCTGCAGGTGGAAAAAAGCAATGATGAGCCCACTCTTCCTATGGGACAGAATAAGTGCTTTCTTTTACACCCTGCTCAAAACCTCAGGTGGACAATGTGACAGCTTCAGTGTGGACAAGCAGCTTGGCATTTTAGTTGTCACCTTGCAGAGGCAGCTACCGTGCTGTAGAGCTACATTGCCCAAGCATGTTCCTAAGAACACTGAGCCTACAAAGCACTCTTTATAAAAGGAATTTGGGGATCAAAACCATTTAGAAAATACTGTACACTATTATGTACTTCCTGGAGCTTCACAATGCACATTATTGCACAGAAATTACCAGAAGTCCTTTAAGGAAGAAATGCTTAACTTTGTGAATCCCAGAGTTTCCCAAATCAACACGACCTTGGAATCTTTTTTTTTTTTTTTTTGGTAACATATTTCATAGAACATAGTGAGAGAAATGTTCCTCTATGGCTTTGGAAAATTGTTTACAGAAACAAAAAAAAATTAATTTTTTTTACTTAAAAAAATTACTTAACTCCTAGGATCAGGTGTTGGCCAACAACAAAGAGGTCAGTTGAAGGGTTATAAAGGCACGGACTCCATTTCTAATTCCAGCCCAGCACTTTTGCCAGAACCTGAACCTGCCTGAAAACAAGCGGAAATCAATTGTCTGTTTCTTTCTTTCTTTGTGGCACAAGGTGTTGGGCACACTGATCATAGTACAGAGTTGCACGTGGCCCACCAGGGGCCTGTGTTTCCTTGGTACAAAGGCCAAGTGTTTACAGTCTTTCCTCTTCTGTAACAATCAAATCATTAAACATCAATCGTTGCCTATCACATGACTAGAGGCTTTTCAAACAGACCTGACAGACCTTTGTTCCTAACAAAATAAAAGGAGATGATAACATGTACAGCTTCTAATTATTTTCAGCAAGAATTACACACACCGAGAGATCATAATACAAAGCTTTTGGCTATACATGCCAAGTAATTTATAAGTATTACAGCAAGGACAGGGAAAGATGAAAATAAATGAGATTACTGGAATGACGTAAACATTTCATCATTTGCATAATATATCATTTTTTAATCTTGTTCCCAGGGAATTTCACATATTTTGAAACAAAAGACAGGGAAAACAGGACCGTCCAACTGTGGGATATAAACCACATTCATACCTCAATAGCAATTCTCGCAAATCGATACTGCAGAGAGGCGGGAGGCCTCAGTATCACCAAGCCCCTCTCGGCTGCTGGCTGGCTAGACAGCATATCCAGCAAGCCTGTCAAACTAACAAACCCCAGGGCTTCTCCACAGCCAACAGCCATGGAAAAATCTCCCTGAGTGACAAAGCCTAGGAGAGCTCTGGAGCAGTGCGAAGTCACACTCGGGAGAGGGCCTGACCACAGCCCCAGAGTCAGAGCTTCCTGCCCGGGTGCAGGATCTCCCAGTGCCAGGCCCTCAGAAATGGCATGTCCCCGCTTTTGCCTTCTCTCCATTTTCTTCTTTTCGTTCTGTTTCAGGATCTTGCTCTTGAATGGGTCACTGTGTTTGGATTCCTGGGGCCCACAGTAATGCCTATCCTGACTGAGCTGGAGGAAGTCGTCCTTGGCTGGAACACAGATCATGGTGTGCGGCTCAGGGCTGCCCTTCCTGAGCAGGGACAGGCTGACCCACACCAGGGCCCGGGGGAAGTGGTCCACGATAGACAGGCAGGCCTCTTCGGTCAATCCTTGCTGGCCTCTGCTGGGAGCTCGCCGGGCTGCCCGACTGTCCCCAGGACTGGGCCCGCACCAGGCTGACAGTTGCTTCAGTAATTTTCTACTCCTACATGAAGATGAAGACACACATTTGAGGATATTTCATTCAAGGAAAAAATATACAATTAGAATATTAGACATTGCTAGAGTTAATTTGATTTTTTAATACTATAAGAAAGTATCAAAACAATAATTTTTTAAAAATTAAAAATACACTTTAATACATTTTAGTAATGATAATTTTCTATGTGTCTGCCATTCTGAAACTGAAGGACTAAACATTTAAGAAGTTAAAAACAGAGAAAAATAAGACACTTAGATAAAATTTAGGATTGTCTTTTTTTTTTGAGACAGAGTCTCACTCTGTCACCCAGGCTAGAGTGCTGTGATGTCAGCCTAGCTCACAGCAACTCAAACTCCTAAGCTCAAGCAATCCTCCTGCCTCAGCCTCCCAAAGTGCTAGGATTACAGGCATGAGCCACCATGCCCAGCCAAAATTTAGGATGGTAATCCCAGTGAGAAGATGAGAATAAAGAGAAGCTAATATTTTCATGAGTAAAGAAACTTTAAGGGACAATTATATATAAAGTAAAAAAAAAAGATAAGACATTATGAGGTTACTATACAGAAAAATAAGTATGAGGCTAGAGGGAAGAGCACTTTTTAAAAATCAGAGCACAGAATATAAGGTAGCTGATAAGCAGAACTTAGCCTGCAGCAGTACTGTGAGGACACATTGTACATGGTAGCCTCTAAGGCTAGGACAATATTACATTAAATGTGTTGCTAATCTACCATGAAATACATATACTTCAAAAGGAACTAGAAGAAATCTAATTCAGTGATTTAAAGCAAAGAGTCTGCTTGATCAGACTAAATAAGTCAGAAAAAAAATGCCTTGGTTTAGATCTACTGATGACAGTATTTTAAATCATTTCATCAATTACTACCATGCCCTACATCAAATGTTATTAAGCTATTTCCCTCTATGAAATATCAAAAGACTGACTTTCCCTTCCAGAAAGTCCATAAATTCAGTTGGGTTTTGCATAAAGGAACAGTGAGAACTTTTATATCCTGTAGCCTGTTCAATATTAAAATAAGCAACCCAAAATGTGTCCAGAAGTCACCTACACTTACCTAAGAACGCAGAGTTGACTACCAGTGGCAGCAACACGGTTCTCACTGACATCCTGGTCTATTACCCTCTCGGCCCCTGCCTGGTCTCGACACTCTGTGTCCATCACTTCTTCTGGCTCCGTGGAGTGGTTTAGGGATGTGCCCACTTCATCAGATAGCTGAGTTTTTTCAGGCATGGGAGTACAAGACACTTCATATCTTCTTAGGTCACTCTCCTCACAGGGTGGAGATGAAACTACAGAAGATTCTTTGTGGGAATGGACTCTCAACTCCCAGTCTTGCGTTAACTGCTCCCAGGGACAGCAGAAAGGGGCCAGAGTGCCAAGCTTAACATAGTTGGGCCGTTTGGCAGGAGGGCGTCTAATGAAAAACAAAGAGGAGAACCAATGTTGAACGATTTAGTATTGGACAATTAAAATAATTATGGCCATCTCTATAAGCAAACAACAAAAAACTTTCCAAGAAATACATGATAAAGAATAATAAATAATCAATTCTACTGGCCAAGCTTTTATGTTTTCTTTGGTCTTTAATCGATAACGCATCTACAATGAAGCCCCATGTGGCTACTGAAAAGCTCCTAGTAACTGGTGCTCCTACAGGGGTGCAATGACCTGCCTATCTATTTACAAGGTTCTAAGTTCAAGATTATAGTGAAGTTATCTCTCTCTTGACTTCTAGCGACCCAGCTGCCCTCCTCAAAGACAATATCATTATCAGTTCCTTATGTATCCTTCCAGAGACATTTTATGTATATACAAGCAATATACATATTTCTTTCTTTTTACTTATTTTTACACAAACGGTGGCATACTAGATACAGTACTTTTTGTTTAATTTCACTTTTTTCATTTAACAAAATATCTTGGAGATCACTTTATATCAATACAGAAAGCTCTCTCATTCTTTTGTAAAAGGTTCTGTTATTTTATTCCATCACCTGAATATGCCCTAATTTATTTAGACTGTCCTCTACTGAAGGACATTTTGGTTACTTTCAAGCTTTTGTTTCCACAAACAATGCTGCACTGAATGACCTTGAACATGTTTGCACAGGTATATCCGTAGGATAAGTTCCTGGGAGTGGAACTGCTAAGGCAAGGAGTGTTGGCTTTTCGATTTTGACAGATAATCATCCTCCCCAAGGGTGATACCAACTGACCCTTCCAGCAATGTATAAATGAAGTAGAACCTTTGAGAAATACTATAAGCTAATGAAAACCAGGGCCTGACCCCAAGAAGTAGGTATTGGCTGGCTGTTGGCCATTCTGGCCCAGAGTACTCTCAGCAGTCCAAGACTACATCCTCAGGTGATGGTCTACTCTGGAACAGACCATACATTCCTTCCCTCATTTACTTCTTAACATGTGTTGTGTCCTAGGACCACAAATGGAAATGAACCTGTAGGCTTGATCAAGGGGGTTTACTCTTAGCCTGAGCCTATACTCTCAAGTTTGAACCTCTCTGGAGGTGTACTGGCCTCCTAGGAGAGGCAGTTGATCAAACACTCCCAGGTACTTGCCTCACCCAGAAACCTTTCAAAGTCCAAAGAGATAACCATGTAGACCCATTTCAACCCCTTGAATAGAAAACTCGTGTTATTCACAGCCTATGTAGTGCTGCAATGCAGTGCAGGAGAACACAGTATTCTCACAAACCACTTTCAGCTTTATAGATCTATGTGGAATAACAAGTAAAAAAAAGTGGGATTTGAAATTATAATTTCTAAAGCTTAAAGATAATCTAGAGAAGTAGAGAAAATTCCTAGTTCAAGCTGAGAAAAACAATAAGAACAGGATACTAAGGTGACAGATACAATCTTGAATTTTGGTTAGGCTTTTAAAGAAAAAGTATCTCCTTCATCCCAGAAGAAAGGTAAATACGATTTAAACAAATTCTCCCAAAATGTCACATATAAATCAAAGAGATATTAGGTCACGAGGTAGAGGGAGGTACTTGCCACGTTCCCTCTGCTCTCAGCATACAGCAGTATTAGGTGAAGTGTGAGAATACACACAGCAGGAGGTCAGGGGTGGGGGTCTGGGGTCAGAAATGGCTTACTGTTTTGTAGAACAGTTTCATTTTTTTCTACTAATATAAGTTCAGGCAAGACTGGAATAATAATGACAATAGCTGATACTTCTTGAGCACATGCCACTGCTGTTCCAAGTGCTCTATAAATTTTGACTTATTTCATCCTTGCACAGAGACAAGCTAGGGTTTTCACTGAATTCACTTTCTCTTCTTCCTGAGCACACTGCTAGGTTACACGTCCTCACTTTCCTTGTGGCCAGGAAAATCTGAGTGGAAGTGACATGCTCACTACTCCTAGGCCCACCCATATTCCTCCATGCTCTTCCTCCCTCACCCAGCTGCATGCAAAAGACCCCTTGGCCCCAGGGAAACAGTGAAACCACAGGACAGAAGGTGCCCAGATCTCTGAAACCCCAGCCCCTGGTCAAGAACATCACACTCAACTGTTCCGCAAGTGAAAAATAAAACTCTTATTGTGTTAAACCACTGAAATCTGGGTGGCCCGGTTGCAGCCGACTCTCCAGTGACCCCACGCCAGCACCTAAGTGGCAAAACACAGCTGAGGAAGACCACGCAATGGTCCTGAATAGTCTTAATTTATAAACACAAATCTCAGCTGGATGCTCTCATACATTTCTTACTTATCTGTTATATTTCTCCAGTCAATTCGATCTTCCACTCTCCCAAAAACTGTTTACATCAATTCTTCTCTCCTCCTCTTACTGCTGGCTGATAATCTCCCCTCTTTTCCATGAAGACAGTCACAATCAGGAGAGTGCTATCTAATCTCCCACCACAGAATCTAACCTACCTAAATCTGTGTTGAGATTGCAGAGGCAGCCTAACTGCCTAGTGTAGTGGAAGAACAGAACCTGATCCTACCAGATGCCATCCCCTCTTCCCTCTTCAAGGGCTTTGCTGTTGCATTTTATCCTCCCTCCCCTTTTCTGGGTCCCCCCACCCACCAGCCTAGAAACATTGCTTCCATCAAGAATATAAGCTCCATGAAGGCAGGGAAAGACTTGTCTGCCCTGCCCCTGCTGGAGCCCCAGTGCCTAGAATGGTGTTTGACACACATAAGCTCTAAATAAATATGTGCTAAATGAATGAATAAATCAGACAAATATGTAAAGATGTACACAGGAAGATGTTTACAGAAGCACATAGCAAAAAACTGGAAATAACCTAAAGGGCCACTGATAAATTATTGTACATCCACACTGTACTCCTATGTGACCATTCAAAGTTATATTCTGAGCAAGAGCTGGCAGGCTATGACTCACAGACCAAATCTGGCCTGCTGTCTGTTTTTGTACAATCCATGGGCTTAGGATGGTTTTTACATTTTTAAATGGTTGGAAAAAAAACCAAAATAATAATATTTTATGACACATGAAAATTATATGAAATTCAAATTTGAGTGTCCATAAATAAAATGTGATTGGAACACAGCCATATTCATTCGTTTATATGTGATCTGTGGCTGCTTTTGTGCCACAAAGGCGGAGCTGGATAGTTGCCACAGAGACTGCAGGGTCCACAAAGCCAAAAATATTTATCATCTGGCCCTCCACCAAAAACGTTTGCCAATACTTGGTTTACAGTCATATTTTTTGATACAGAAAAACTATCCATAATACATTGTTAAATGAAAAAGGCAGGTTTCAAAATGGTATATACAGCACCATTCTTTTTAAAAAAATTTGTACCTATGGAAAATTTACATGAATAAAGAAACTTTAAAAGAGTGAGAAATAAGCATTATTGTCAATTATTATTTAACAAACACACAGAAGACCCTCAAGTACATATTATACACATGGCACAAGGGTATACAACACATGATCACTGCCCTCAAATACGTGGTAAGCTAGCAATCCAGTCATGTATTATCATTTATTCACTTACTCATTCATTCATTCATTTATTCATCCATCACTCTACAAATGGTTTGGAAGCCAGGCACTCTGTCTCTATGGTTGCAGCAGTGAACAGGAAAACACAATTCTGCCCTGATGGAGCTCACAGTTGAGGAACTAGAACATTCAATTACTCAGTTATTCTTCAGACAACAAATAAAAGCTGTCAAGCCCTACTGTGCAAAAGGCACTGGCTAGACACTGCAGATGCCATGAGAGAGAGTCTCTGTGCGTCAAGGAGCCTACAATTCAGTGAGAAACACAGGTTTCTGATGTCAGAACATAGTTCACAATATAAAGGAAATAAAGGCCAGGCTGTGGCTCACACCTATAATCCTAGCACCATGGGAGGCCGAGGTGGGGGGATCGCTGGAGCCAGGAGTTCGAGGTTGCAGTGAACTATGATGACACTACTACACTCTAGCCAGCGTGACAGAGCAAGACTCTGTCTCAAAAAATTAAATAAAAGAAAGAGAAGAGAAGAGAAGAGAAGAGAAGGAAGGAAGGAAGAAGGAAAGAAAGAAAATAAAATCCTTCATTGGCCACACTTCCAATGAAAAAAGAAAAGTCTAGATGTATAGATACTAAAATATAAAAACAGTGCTTAGGTTTCTGGATGGCAGGACTATACCAGTTTATAAAGTATTGTTATATATTTCTATAGTTTCATTAAAAGTATATAAATATGTATTATTTCTATAATCAGTTTTTTAAAAAACACAATTTCCATGGGGTGGGGATCTATTAGTAGGACTCTATTAACAAGTGTCTGAAGCTCACATCCAGTTTAGGTGTACTCCAGGATCGATGTAGGCAAATAACCAGGAGAAGGGTTTGTACAATAACCCAGATGGGCCTACAAAAGCCTGACAGACATAAGACAATCTCCTGACTTAATATCTTCTTAATTACTTCTCAGGAATGCTGAACTCAAGGAAAAGTCTACAAAAACTCCACATTATAGAACAGGAGTTACCAAAGCCATCCCAAACACTGCTGGCTAATTTGCGTAGGCACTTCTTCTCTTCACCGTAAGACATTATCAAACTAGAGAAGCTAGTTTCTTACCTTTTATACTTTTCAAGAAGATTCTTAGCTTGCTCTTCAGCAAACAGAATCCCAGCAGGGCAGTCTGGGAAATCACCTGGAATGTTAGGTGACCTTTTATACTGAGAATGTACTACAGCCTCTTTCAATCCTCCAACTCTTGCACCTCGATAGATCTAAAGGAAATGTCAAAAAAGTTATTGTCAATTTACCAACTTAAAGTGGAATTGCTTAATTGTTTATATAAGAAAAATGGGAAACAGTCTAAATGCCCATCAAAAGGAGAATAGATAAATACATTGTGGGATAATCCTACAATGGATTACCATACAATAATAAAAATGAATGAAATCGAACTTCATTGATGAACATGGAAATATCTTGATGCCAAATGAATATGGCAAGTTGCAAAAGCATATATACAGTGAAGTATATTATACTTTTAAAACATGTCAAATAGAGTTATTTTATTGTTGGATATATACATACTGAATAAAGCTATAAAAATATTTATAGTAGTGACAAACATCAAAATCAGAATAGCGATTGTTTTAGAAGGAAAAAGGGACATGAGATTGGAGATAGGTACACAGGGTACTTCCAATGAATCTATAATGTTCTATTTCTTAAGCTGGATGGTGGGTGAAGGGTACATAGGTATTTATTATATCACTATATATTCTTTTTTGTATGCTTTAAATATTTCATAATAAAAAAACTAAGTAGAATGATTTAAAAATATTTCCACTCCTAAATGATTCATTAAACGTCCCTTGCATGAGGCATGCTAAAAATTAAGTCCCAGCATGAATCTAACAGTCTTACATGTCTTTTACACTCTCTAGCATCAAAGTCATATTTAAAATAACCAGGAAGAAAAAAGCATTAAATTTTAATAAAATTTTTAGCTACAGCTGATAAATAGGAGCATATGGTTTTAGTTAACATTTTTTAAAAACAAAAAATGTATTCTATACATCTGTAAAAGTTAAGTCTTTTGCTTCTAAACTATAACAAATTTCTTCAAGTTAAAGACCTCTACACTCTTTTACCACTACTATTCAAAAATAAGGCTACTTTAAAAACCTCAACAATTCACAATATGTCAGCACAGGTCTTATCATGGGAACCTGGCTCCGGGGACTGTATGTATGAAGTATCTTGTATCCAGGGTTATAGCTCTAAGGGTAGAGACATACCATTCAAGTTCTAAGTTGTATAATAAAGCCTGGAACATTATCAACACTTAGTATTGATTAGAAATGTATTTTAAATGTTGCAACTATTAGTCAAAATCAAAAAGTAACTTACAAATGGAATCCAGAAAGCCATGCCCCATCCCTTTGGGAGCAGGACATCCCAGCCACTTCCCCAGCCTAGTCGGTCTTCACCAGTCACTTTTCCTGGCTGCTGAATCAAAAGTATAGGTATCTTGGATTCACAGGGACCTAAAACAAGCTGTGACCCAGGCACCAGCAATTCACTTCTCATCCGGTTTAAATCCTAAAGTGGAAGAAAATAATTCAAGACAAACAACCCTAGTCTTCTAGGAGATTCTACTGGGTCCCCCTAATAGCAGCTTTAGAAAGGTAAATGCTCTTTGAAAAAGCAAGAAAAAAGTTCTCAATAAATAAATGCAAGCCATTTCAAATATAAGGTAGTCTTCCTACAGATAAAGATTTTCCTCTATACAAGTGCTTTGGTAGAAAAGGCCAAATTATCTTAAATATGTTAAATTTGTGCTAGAATATACTACATGATTCAAAGTTAAAAAATAATATACTTTCATTCTGCTAATCTCTTATATCAAGATTAATCTTATGTTTTGATACTGTGTCTCTACATTTATTTTAAGATTTTTTGGCATGAAGTAAAAAAGGTACAAACAAGTGAAAACTTCTCAAGGATGCGCAACTGGAAAAATACCCTGGCTCTTGGTAAAATTTCTCACCAGGTCTTAAAGATTTAAAATAGAAGGTGCTATAAATTACTGTTAAGGAGAATGTAGGGAGTAGATAACAACATCCTTTCAGACTTTTCTTGGAGCTGTAAAAAGAGATTAATAGTTAGGTAAGAGGGCTATCACTCAATTTAGAAAAACTGTACAAAAGACTGCCTTCATGCTATGAGGTCTAATTGCTACCTCATGAATGGTCTTCAAGCCAGGTCCGAGTCCTAATTCTTTTTTTTTTTTTTTTTTTTTTACCTTCACTTGAGTTTCTATACCATCTCTATGTTGGTAATTCCAAAATATATATCTCTTTAGCCCTGACTTTTCCTCCTGGGATAGAAACCTGTCTCCTAGGCCTCTGCTCCTGGGGAGTCCCATAGCCTCTAAACTCAGTTTACTCAAGACTGAACTCGTCATCTCTCCCACTGTACCTGCCTTCCTCCTGTGTTCCCCACTGAGCTGAAGGATGCCACAGTGCACACACTTCACTCATTCATCCATTCGAATATTTACTGAGCACCTCTTATGTGCCAGGCACTTTTCTAGAACGAGGTAATATAGCAGTGAGCAAGTCAGATGTGGCTCTGGCTCTCTTTAAGCTGAGATTCTAAACCAAGCTAGAATGTTAGTATTAAAAACTAATCTACATGTGTCCTCCCTTCTTACTGCCCATCTTCTATCTAACCACCATGTCTGGTCAATTTTACCTTCCGGGAATATGTATTAAACCCCAACCCCTCCACTTCTGCCACACTGCCACAAGTCAGTCCCCCATCATGTCATACCTGGATTATTTCAAGGGTCTCTTTTAAGGCCATCCAACCCCATGATGCTCTCTCCAGCTCTCCTGGCCCCATCCTTACCCCTAGCCTAGTCCCTCCTCCACACTGCTGCCAGAATGAAATCTCATCATGTTGTGACCTGCCTTAAAACCTCCAAGGGTGCCCTACATCTCCATTCCAAATCCTTCAGATGCCTCAGGGTCTTTTATGCTCTGGCTCTCATTTCTCTCTTCAGTTTCATTTCTTGCCCCCCACCTCAACTCCATGCTCCTAATCTACTGGGAGATTCACGAACACATCACCCTTTTTCAGGCTGGGCCCCTGCACACACTGTTCTCATTTCCTGCAATTTTTTTTCCACTGCAGCCTTGACCCTGCCCCGGAGAAGTCTGGTTAATTCTATCTCCCGCCTGAGACTCAGCTCAAATACCAGCTCCTCCATCCAGGAAGCCAGCCTCAATTTCCCCAGTGTGGCTCAGTACCCCTTCTATAGGCTTCCTCAGTACGCTGTACTTCTTCGATCAGATCCCAGTGATTTATCTCAGCACTTAATACAATGCCTGGCCCTGGTGGGAGTTCAATCACAGTGAAATTAAAGACAGAGAACATTTAAGAGGAAAAAAAAACAATAAAAGAAAAACATATTTAAACCACGAGATCATCATTTCAAACAAAAGTTTTGTATTCACTTTTTCTAAAGATTATTCTTATTTTGTCCCTAAGAACAGGAAAAAAAGTCACAGTATATATCCTTATTCTTAGATTTTTATTCTTAGGTAATATATAAGATCCTCATCTTATTCTTAGATTCTTATCCTTATTTGTAGATTATCCCTAAGAACAGGAAAAAAAATTACAGTATGTATCATGAGTAAGGTATCAACAAATTGTTTGAAAATAAAAGCAAGTCTATGGGATTCTACAAAGTATGAACTTTTTATGGTCTATAGAATGACAAATTTAACCTGTCATTCAAGACTCTACCAATAATCCTTACACTATTAGTTACCTGATCCGAGATTTTATTCTCTGTGACACTCTTACAGATATCTTGGTTCCAGATAAAGCTATGTGTACATTCCACAGGCACACCCTCCAGAAGCAGCTGTCTAACTTTCTCATTATCTAAGAAGGAAAAGAAATAGCCTTCAAACCACATCCTTTAGATTAATGAAGTCAAACTCTAAAAGTTGGCAGAACTTTTGTCACAAGACAATATTTTACAGGTATTTACTTAACTTCTTTAGAAGAATTTACTTGATAAGAAATTAAGTTATTCTTATAGTTGGTTTCATAATTCATGAAATAGCAAAGGCTCCTAAACTTCTTTGATATTTATTTTTTATGTATAAGATGCAAATATTATAATATTAAATTGCCTCTATTTAGCAGTCTTTAGTCTTTTTGGCACCAGGGACTGGTTTCATGGGAGACAATTTTTCCAAGGATGGGGGGCGGAGCTCAGGCAGTGATGAGAGCAATGGGGAGCGGCTATAAATACAGATGAAGCTTCAAAGCTTCCCCCGCTCACCCCCCCCTGCCCCCGCCACTCACCTCCTGCTGTGCAGCCCCATTCCTAAGTTTCACTTTTCCAGGGGCATAGGGGGCGGTGAGGGCGGAGCTCAAGCAGCAGTGTGGCCTGGTTCCTAAAAGGCCATGGACCAGTACTGGTCTGCAGCCCAGGGGTTGGGGACTGCAGCTCTATAGAAATGACTAATTTCACATTTAAGATAATCAAATTCTAGGAGCCACTGCAGAGGCGAACAATTCCTTAATAATATGCCATATTATAAGCACAAGGCATATTTTAGCCACTGGCTCCAGGACTTTGTATCATTCCTAAACCAATGGTGGTGAGCCAACAGGTATCATCCTCTTCTGGCCCATATTTCAAGTCTCTGATTACTCATTTTTATTGAACTACCTATTCCTTTCTGTAAAATGTAATTTTTTTATTCCTTTAAAATAAGCAGATTTTCTATAAAACATGGTATTTCGCCCTTTTAAATAAGCCACACCATACTAGAAAGTACTCTAATAAAAAGCAGAAGGAACTTTTTCTTGATGGAAGAGACTTCTTACATGTGGTAATTTAATCATTAGGGGGGAAAAAAATCTTCCAAATCTTATTTTGTTGGACTGAAGAATAAGGAAAAAAGTTAGACAATTTACGAGTTTGGGTTATGGTTCGAAAATGCCAACACAGAAACATCATTCAAAGGCACATACCTGTGTGGGTCTGATGACTGGAAAAAAAGTAAGTTAGAAGTGACTGGGCCATAGTGTGACAGATTTCAGGGGAGAAACATCAGAGAAAATTAAACTGATGAAAAGATCTGAAATGAAAGCTGCTTAATTAAAAGCCACAGTGCTTCAGTACACTGCTCTTCCTCATGGAGATAATAATCAACAAACTGTCAAGTAACAGTGCTGTGTGCTGCGCAAGTTCACATGGCCTGGCTAGGCACAGACAAGCTCCCTTTCCACCAGGGGTGGTCTGCCCAGAGCGCTTGTGGAGTGCTGCCACAGTTTTGAGTGACAGAATTGGGAGATCTGTCACTCAGAGATCAGTTGCTAGGGGTTGGGGGAGAGAGGGATGAATAGACAGGGTACAGAGGATTTTTAGGGCAGTGAAACCACTGTATATGATACTATTATGGTGAATGCATGTCATTATACATTTGTTAAAACCCATAGACTGTTTAACACCAGGAGTGAACCCTAATGCAAACTATGGACTTTGGGTGATGATAATGTGTCGATGTAGGTTCATCTCTGAGAATTTGCATCACCACTTCAGGTTCTTCATGTACTTTCCCTTTGAAAAACTCTCTAATTCCCAGTACGCACAAGAAGATAAAGTGTTTGTTATCTGAATCAGGCAAACCCTTCTTTATGGTTAAAGCAGTACTAGAACTGGTCTTTTTTGTCAAAGTCAAAATAGGCAGAGGATGACTTCAGATATAGAAAGACAAACTGGTAATATGTCAGAGAAATACGTTTCAGAGCGTCGTGTTGTTGAGATTCTTCTATGGATTAATCTTTTATTATTTGACTGAGCCCATCGAAGTATATTTCTAACTTTAGTTTTAAATTGTTTTCCTAGATGAGATGTCGTATTTGTTAATAATATTAGTATAATACTTATTCCTTAAAAAGTTTACTTCTCTCTATAGCTGACATACCAGATAAAAATACTTCTTCAAAGAAATTACTTAAAACAAGTTTTAATGAAATACTACAACAATAACTAACAAGATGGTAACCTTTTATAGTAGAAATTAAATCATATTTTTCAAGGTAGGCTTTAACACATAACTTCCTCATTCCAAAAAAGGATTTGATGTAGCAAGAGAAACTAAGTAGATTTCAACTATAGCTTTAAGGTGATTGTAATAGTCAACGTCTAATGGCGTAGTAAATGCTGCAACTTTTATGTTACACCAGACCCTTTTGGCATTAAAAAAGAAAAGGAAACAAAAGAAAGAGGCAATGACTCATTGATTAAAGTCTTAGGCTCCATAATTAACTAACTTACCTATATATCTTCCAACTCTTCTCTCATCCAATCTACCTTTTATGTGAGGTTCTGACCGTAATTTATTGCCCCTTTAATAAGCTCACTAAATGTGAAGAGGTAAAAAAAAAAACCTCTGAAGTTGTTATGACACAAACCTGTATTTTTTCTCCAAAAATTCACAAACTAATTTTAATTATTCTTCTAATTAATCATGTTTAAATGACAGTAAACACAATGAGATACTATTACAATTGCTGGAAATTCCAGATCACACTGAAATTTTAGCCAGCCCCCTACCCACCATCCTACACCACTCCAGCCAAAAAACTTTCTCAGGCCACTCTACTCAGTCTAAATCAAGACGTCTTACACTCCAGCACCTGGGATGGCCTTGCCAGGATTCGAACCTGGATCATCTGTATGGTCAGACAGAGGCTTCCACTGAGCACAAGACCAGCTTCGGGTGCAGATCCCTTCCTCACAATTAAAATTCTGAAACACCAGACATTTTCAGAGAACCCAGTTTGCAGAAAGACAGGTTTTGCTAGAAACTAAAAATAGAGAACTCAGAAAACAAAACAAACATAAGGATCAGGCCACATGTTTTACAGCTAAAAGACACTTCCACATATATCATTTCCGCTAATGATCATAACCACCTTATAAGGTAGGCAGGTAAAGACCACTCTAATTTTTCACAGATGAAGTCATCACTGATGTGTCAGAGACCTAACTCTTCTAATAGAACTGGATTGCTCAAAATAAGGAAAACCAGGGGTGTTTCAAGACTTTACCTTGGCATTTTTCTGGATCAGACAAAGCTTTGGACTTCTTTTGAGGCAAATTTATTCGAGGATCTCCAACTGTCAGTCCCAGAATAGTACCTGCTGGAATTTCTGCTGGTGATGTTATTCCTTTAACAACAACAAAAAGATCAAAAAAAAAGCATACAGAAAGTCATTCATAATACATACATATTTGCTTATATTTTCAAATCTTTCAGATTTTCTAATGAAACTTTCTTCTTGGGCAAATGATTTAAAAACATGTGTTCCCTTTGTTCACATCGATACTCTTAGAGAATAAATTAACATTCATAAAGAGTGAAGTTCTTGGCAAAAAACATTAAACATAAAAAGGGTTATTTTACAACATGAACACATATACTGTGAGCACAGATGCAGTCATATGCAGGTAAGCAGAGATTTTAGGTCAATACCTGGCATATGCGTTTATCTATAATATCAGAACACTAGCTATTTAGGATTTGAGCATCTCACTTGTTTGCTGTTCATAACCAAACATGAACATAGTGTCTACTCACTGAGTTCTCTTACTTGCTTCTCTGGCTACATCATAACAAACGGCAGCAAGTTAAAAGGCAACACTACATGTCAGAGGCCCAACAGCAGAAGGCTCTTTTAACCCCCTTTCCACCCTTCCTTCCCTCCCCAGTACCACCCAGTATTCCCTATGTATACCTCCCAACAATTCAAAAATGGCTTCTTGTCTGCGATGAAGGGAAATGCTATCAGGATTCTTACAGGTTTCAATCCACCAATGGTGAGGGGTCTTCTCTGTGTCCCCTCCCTCCTGAAAAATAACAATTCCTATTCATTAGACAAATAATTAATCAGAATTAATAATTTCATTATGATTGTGATACAGCCCCCACCTTTTTTTTCTGTGTGTGGGAATGAACGTGTTATAGGGGAACCAGGGAAGCTGCCACTATACTTAACATACTAATTAATGCCAGACTAATTATTCTTCCAATTAGAGACAAGGATACTGTATTACACTTCTCTCAAGATTTCCCACACCAGGAAAGTCATCCATGATTTTCAGAGGGACTACCTACCTAAGATACTTCACACTCAGTCTCTCCTGAGCACAGAACCAACAAGAGAGGCCTATTCCTCTCCCACTACCACCAACTTCATCATCTCCAATTTAAGCAATAAAACATTCCCCCATTCTTCACCAAAGAAAAATCAAACCAGTATCTTTAGAAGAAATCTTCAGATGAAGGATATATTACTACTATAGTATTCCTGAAAATGTCTAATAAGATATAAAAACACTTATATTTTTTGAGAGAACCAGAAATTGAGCAAAGTTTCTTTTTCTTTCTTTTTTTTCCGACACAGAGTCTCACTCTGTCACCCTGGATAGAGTGCAGTGCCGTCAGAGTAGCTCACTGCAACCTCAAACTCCTAGGCTCAAGCAATCCTCTTGCCTCAGCCTCCTGAGTAGCTGGGACTATAGGCACGCAATAGCTAATTTTTCTATTTTTAGTAGAGACAGGGTCTCGCTCTTGCTCAGGCTGGTCTTGAACTCCTGAGCTGAAGCAATCCTCCCGCCTCAGCCTCCCAGAGTGCTAGGATAACAGGCATTAAGCCACCACGCCTTGCCTTGAGCAAGGTTTCAAAAAGCATTTCAAGTATCATGTGCATGCCAATAAGGGAACCTACAGCCATGATTCATACTGAAGTTCACTGAAGTAGGATGTGCACCTTCAGATTCTAAAGAAGCAACTTGTAACATACGTGCTGTTTACTCACAGAAACTCAGGACGCAAAATTTAGTGGTTTAGCGTACAGGCTTTGGAATTAAACTACCTAGGTTCAAATCTTTGCTCCACAACTTATTAGCTACCTTGGAGCACCTTCTCTATGCCAGGCACTGTGCTAAGCACTGGGGACAGAGAAAGAATAGGACCAACCCTGTCTTTGCTTTCATGAAGTTCACAGTCCGAGACATGGACATTACATAAATATGCAAGCAAATCTATACATATAAAAGGAAATGTGCAAGATGCTCTGAAAACAATAGGAGGGATATAATTTAATTTGGGGGATCAGGAAACGATTCTAGAGGGAAACAATACAGATTGAAACTTGAAGAATGAGGAAGGTTCAACCAAAGAGTGGTGGAGGCAGAATGTTCAGAAGGTGGGAAAAAAACAGGTGCAAAGGCTCTAAGGGAGACAAGAACTGACACATTCTAGAACCTGAAAGACCAGCATGGCTACAGTGTGGAAGGTGTGGAGAGATGAGGCCTCAGAAGCAAGAAAGGACAGGTTACACAGTTCACAGTGAAGGCTATGACTTTTATCTTAAATACAATGAGAAGCTATTCAAAAACCTTTCATCAGAAAGCAACAAGATATGAATAAATTATTAAAAGATCACTCTGCCTCCTGCATGGAGAATAGTCTGAAAAGGGGGGAATGATGGAAGAAAGTTAAGAAGCTGCTCCAGTGTTCCAGGCAAGAGACAACAGTGGCTGAGACTAGAGTGGAGACAATGATGGAGAGCAGCCTGAGCAACATAGTGAGACCCCATCCCTACAAAAAATAAAAAAATTAGCCAGACGTGGTGGCACGTGCCTATAGTCCCAGCTACTTGGAAGGCTGAGGCAGGAGGATCGCCTGAGCCTAGGAGTTTGAGGTTGCAGTGAACTATGATGATATCACTGCACTCTAGCGCAGGCAACAGAGTGAGAGCCTGTCTCTAAAACAAAAAGATGAAGAGAAGTAGCTTTTTAAAACATCTTTCTTCTAAAAGCTCAAAATTTGTTCAGCTCTATCTTCATATTTGACCACATCAAATCTGTGAGAGGCATAGGAACTGAAAAGTTAATTATATTAAGACAGGAAAACAAACAGGCTCTGAATCCAGAGTGTCGATTCCTAATCTAGTCTCTGCGCTCTAGGCCTAAGCTGTCCAACATAGTAGCCACTAGCCACAACAAGCTATTCAAATTGAATTTTTAGCCAATTAAAATTAAATAAAGGTATAATTTGTTTGTCACTGTAGCCATATTTCAAATGCTCAATTGCTACATGTGGCTAGTGGCTATCATACAGGATAGGACAAAGGAACAGCATCCTCATAGAAAGTTCTGTTGGAAGTGCTGAGCTACACATAATGCTCTTATCCTTTCTAGGAATCATAAAACTAGCCTCAGAAAACATGCAACCCACAAGTACAAACACACAAATACTGGCACACAATTTCAGAAATTTTAGGGACTCCCCACCTATGAAACAGAAGTTAAGACCCTTCTACAAGACTCACGGCTACAAGAGCAGTCTGTATTTAAATAAGCACAGTCAATTTATTTATCGTATCCACTCAGATGTGTTCTTCTAGGAGAAGTAGCACATAAAATCTTTGATAATAAGCATAAGTAGGGAAATAAGCATTTAAAAGCCATAGCCCAGGATGGGTGTAGGGGCTCACGCGGCCAAGGCAGGAGGATAGCTTGAGGCCAGAAGCTCAAAATTAGCCTGGGCAACATAGCGAGACCTTGTCTCTACAAAAAATAAAAAAACTAGCCAGGTGTGGGTGCCTACACCTGCAGTCCCAGCTACTTGGGGGGCTGAGGCAGGAGGATCACTTAAGCCGAGGAGTGAGCTATGAACGTACCATCGCATTCCAGCCTGGGCGACAGACAGAGCAAGATCCCAGCTCTTAAAATAAAAACAAAAGCCATAGCCCAAAACGTTACCAAATTACATATTAGGTTTCACAAATTTGCCAAGAAAAAGAAGACTAGAATAAAACATTACAGTCATGTTTACTCTTACCATGTGGACAGAAGCAGTTTTCAGCGCCTCAGTTAGGATGGAGTGGGAAAGTGGACCAATCAGCCGGAATCTGTTCATCTCCATCGTCAAATCACTAAAAAAGAGAAAAAGTCTTAAAATGGAAACTGCCATCACATACAATGTCTATGCCACTGGCAAAAATGAATCTTCACTGAAAATGTTCAGCAAATTCAACCCGTACCTGATTATAATGCCTGTGGTTGGAGAGATCCAAGAATATGGTTGACATGGATCTCTAGTTCCATCACCGACAATTTTTTTAATTGGTTTAGAATTTTCTCCATCATCTTTCCTTTTTCTTTTCTTGCCGATTTTCTCATCAAGCAGTTCAGTCTGGCTTTTTTCTTGGGATGGTGTCAGGAGTGGATCAGGGATGCACACGGCTAATTTGATGGGTTCCACACAATGACACGCTGCTTTTATTTCCTCTAAGATATCCTAAGGATATATTTAAACATTTACTTTTAAATTTTGAAATTTAAACATATTCTTACAAATTTAGTTGGTTTAGTTTATATTATTTTTTTATCCCTTTAAAAATTCACATTTGTTATTCCTTCACAAATTAAATTTATCATCATCAAAAGCCTTTTTTGGTTTTTCTAAGTAGTGCATGGTACTTGAAACAACATAATCTGGCCAAATGTAAAAAAAGAAAGCACTGAGTATGCTAAAGAAGGGAAGCTAAGCTAAATACAGTGTGAAAAATAATCGGAATTATTCAAAACAGTTTCTTATTATTAAAAAGGCTCTACCAAGCACCTAGTTATGAGAGAACCAATTCGGGAATAATGAAAGCACTAGTCCAAATTCAACACTTCAAATCATTAGCTTAAGGTTGGTTTTCATCTCCACTTCTGCTTATGACTTACTAAAAAATGAGAGGTCAAGATTTGCTTCATTCTAGAAGATGAACAAGTTCTGGGGATCTTATGTACAGCATGGGTGGTGATGGACGTGTTAATTAATTTGACTGTGGTAACCATTACACAATGTTTATGTATATCATATCATCACATTGTATATCTCTGATATATTCAAATTTTATTAATTAAATGTTTTAAAATGAAAAATTAAAATTAAAAAAATTTTTAATTTGCTTCATTCAATATTTACACAATTCCCTTCCCATCCAAATATCTAACTATCAGGCAAACTTTCATACTATTTAAATTTCTAAAGTATTGATGACCAATGGTAATTAAGAATGTAGTAATAGAATGATGGAAAAATAACATGAAGGATTGTACCTGTTTAAGAGTTGGATGCAGCCAGATCCACAACTGTCTGCCCTCAGAAGTATCACTAGAGGTCCTCTTAGGCTTCCAGATAAATGTAACAGGCCCAAGCATTTCTCTGGGATATTTATTTGCCTGGTAAAGCACCAGGCTTCCTTGGCGCTTTCCAGATAAGCAGTGAACTGCTGCAAACGTCAATCCTGACATAAACAAAAGCAAAATTCCACGATTCCAAGTGTTGAGACTGCAATCCTATTTCCTGACAGCCATACTGTTATTTAGTATCAATAAATATCAAATTATTAATAAATAATCCAGGTGAAGTTTTGGTTTTGAGCGTTGCTTAGATCAAAACCTGGCACACAATAAGTTCTCAATAAATATTTATTAAATGAATGATTTAATGAGAGTTTCAAGTTCTTTCTGCCTAAGTTTACTCCATCAGAAAAACTGCTCTCTCGGCCAGGCGAGGTGGCTCACGCCTGTAATCCTAGCACTCTGGGAGGCCAAGACGGGTGGATTGCTCAAGGTCAGGAGTTCGAGACCAGCCTGAGCAAGAGCGAGACCCCGTCTCTACTAAAAATAGGAAGAAATGATCTGGACAACTAAAAATATACATATATAGAAAAAATTAGCCGGGCATGATGGCACATGTCTGTAGTCCCAGCTACTCGGGAGGCTGAGGCAGAAGGAATGCTGGAGCCCAGGAGTTTGAGGTTGCTGTGAGCTAGGCTGACGCCACAGCACTCACTCTAGGCTGGGCAACAAAGCGAGACTCTGTCTCAAAAAAAAAAAAAAAAAAAAAACTGCTCTCTCACTTTACACTTAGCAATGTTACAAATTTAAAACTTGCCCCAGCTTTTCTTAAATTAATATATTCATTGGGAACAGGAAGTATCCCACACATTTTTACATATGTTTAAATTCCAAAATGCTTACAGTAGACACTTGCTCATGAAATGAATAAATCTACAAAGACTAAAATAGGACTCAGCTTTGAAACAAGTTTACCTGTGTCTATGCTACACATTGGAGAGAGTGCCTTTAGTATTTCTTCCTCTTTGCCCTTCAACTCCAAACAACAGTAGTAGGATAAATCCTGCACAAAGGGGGAGATACAATTAAATACTTAGGAATTGACATGTTAAGCTGTTAAGAAGCTGTTAAGAAGCTTCTTAAGAAAGCTGTTAAGAAGACAAAAGCCATATCAAAAAACCTGTAGAGGTCTAAGATGAAGAAAAAATTGCTAACGTTGTTTTCATACATTAAAATCTAAAAAAACAATGGGGTGGGGGGGAGTCTAAACCTGTCCATTCCTATTTCATTAGCGAATATTCTTAAACCAATCTGAATCAAAATCAAAACGAATCTCCATTTAAAATGTAAGTTACAGTGTCCTACTTTTTACAAAGAAAATCTGTGTTTTATCCCATATTCTAGTAGGCAAGTTCTACACTGGGTACATAACTGCTGCTTCTAAGTAAAGGACCATTCATCTCCAAAATCTATACAAGGTAAGAAACCAGAGTAGAATAAGGAAGCCAGTAATAAATTCTGCAAAATTATGCTAAAGTTGCTCACTCTGGTTAGCTAATTCAGGACCCCAAGATTACTTAACACTGAGCCTAGAGATACAATGTTGCAATTAATTTATCCCATATTCCTCCCATGCTCAGTCTTGACCATGATGTGCAACTACGACTAAGCAATGTACAAGGAAAAATAAGAGGAGTAACTTACAAATTTAGTTAAGTGCCAGACACTGGGTTAATTCCCTTACATGGATCGTCATTTAGTCCTCCCAATAACCTGATGTACCAAGTATGGTTATCTTATTTGACAGATGAGGACACTGGGACACAGAGATTGTTATTTGAACATAGCCACATAGTCACTAAGTGGAGAAGCCAGCATTCAAATCAGGCTGACTGACTCCCCAAACCAACCCCTCTGCCATAGTACCTTTAAGCTATTTCAGTGCAGCAACTAGAACTAAAAGGCAAGTTATAGCTATGATTCTGACAACTCACATTAATCAGTGTGATCACTCACACACAGAAATCTTCCCATCAACAGTGACTCACGGTCAGCTGTCAGTGGCCAGATGAACCTCACCTGAATTCGTACAACCAGGTGACAGCAAAGAATAATCATTAAGAGCATGGAACTCTGGAGTCAGACAACCTAGGCTCAAATGTCAACTTCACCAGTCACTGGCTGTACGGTCATAGGTAAACTACCTAACCCTTCTGTACCTCAGTTTCCTCATCTGTAAAATGGAAATAACAGTAACTACCTACCTCGTACTGTTGTTGTAAAGATTAAATGAGTAAACACATGTAAAGCATTTAGCTATTATTTTTATTACTTAGGGCTGATCAGATGTTAAGAAAATATCTGATAACTTCAGCAAAAATTCTGCCCAAAATGAGAAGTCATTCATTGGGAGAGTATAGTGGGAAAAGGCCAGGGAATCAGCTGCCCCAGTGCTATCTAGGTCACCAAAAAACTGTGTGACCCTGGGCAAGTCACTTTTTCTCCCTAGAATACAGCTTCCTCAATGTAAATGAGGAATTTAACTATAATCTATGATGTCTGCTGAGTTCTCAAATCAAAGGCTCTTAAAAGGTTCTTATATTCACTTCACATGCATTAGAATGGCTATTATAAAAAAAAATCAGAAAATAACAAGTATTGACAAGCACGTAGAGAAATTAAAACCCTTGCAGACTGCTGATGGGAATGTAAAATGGTGCAGCTGCTACAGAAAATGGTAAGGTGGTATTTCAAAAAATTAAACACAGAATTACCATATAATCCAGCAATTCTACTTCTGAACATATATTCAAAAGAACTAAAATCAGAGACTCTAATGATATTTGTATACCCATGTTCACAGCAACATTATTCGCAACAGCCAAAAGGTAGGGGTAACCCAAGTGTCCATCAACAGATGTATGGATAAATAAGATGTGGTATATACCTACAATGAAGTATTATTTGGAAATTCTGACACATGCTACAACATGGATGAACTTTGAAGACATTATACTAAATGAAATAAGCCAGCCACAAAAGAACAAATACTGCATGGGTCCATGCATATGAGGTACCTAAAGGAGTCAAGTTAAAAGACAGAAAGTAGGATGGTGGTTGCTAGGGCTGGGGAGAGGAAGGACTGGGGCATGAAATGTTTATAGTTTCAGTTTGAGAAGATGAAAAAGTTCTGGAGATGGATGGTGGTGATGGTTGCACAACATGAATGTACCTAATACCACAGAACCGTACACTTAAAAATACTTAAATGGTAAATTTTATATTATGTATATTTTATCACAATTTTTTAAAAAAGGTTCTTGTGTTGATTATTCTGCTATATTGCTCTCAAGGGGTAACAGAGGACACCAATACCAATGGCTTTCAAAACTTGGCCAAGGCCATCCTGCCATTGCTTCAAAGAGCAAATTCCTAAAAATGCACTGGAAGAAAGAGAAAGCAACTGAATTGGCTACTGGGGAGAGGTGGCAATCAGATAAATACTATTAAGGTGCTTTAAAACAAACCATCCTCTCAAAGAATTTAAAATTTAAAACATTCTTCTCACATCCCACTGAATCCTAACCACCCAGACCAGCATTTTGAACACTGCTCAGGGTACACAGTAGGTTCTCAAATATCTATTGATGATAAATGACTACCAGATTAAACCAAAGAAATCTTGAACATTACCAACAAGACCCACATGATCTGCTTCCTACTTATTTCTCCAGCCTAACCTCACCCTGATGTTAGCCTTGCTCTCATTTTCTTCATAGGTGTCACACACAATTTATTTCAGTTCTTCACTCTCCTCTGGCTTCCTTCTGCCTCCCCTACTCTCCCATTTTATCCCTGAGAGCTCAGCTCAAACATCACTTCCAGAGGGAGCCTTCCAATTCCTCTGTTAGAAAGGCTCGTCATACTGTATGCTTTCCCTTACAGTTATATTTGGCTAATTATTTGATTCATGTCAGTCTCCCTCATGAACTTTAGGCTGCTTCATCTCCAGCATCTAGCAAAGGGCCTCGTGCCTAAGAATCATTTCTAGAATGAATAACCTCATAAACAGGTCTTTGGCATACCAGGAACTATTCTCAAAGTCCATACCAAAAAGGGTCTAAACAAAAATAAAAAGAAAGCCCACTGGAAAAGCTCACCTGAAGGAGGCAACGGTTCGTCATGGCTCGATAGCAGGCTCTGTGGCTCTTCACTGTCGGCCTCTCCCCAAGGCAGTAGCCCCACTTCTTGACCATGTGAAACCGCTTTGCATGCCAGATGTGAGTTTCTAACCATTTGTTCTTCTTTTGTCTACGGTTAAATTCTAGCATCCGGTTTATGTGACATCTTCTAGCTTTATGGCATTTATTTTTTGAATGTTCTTTTTTTTGATGTACGGCTTTCTCCGCCTAAAGTTTCAAGAAGAGAGGCAGATCCCAGTTTGTAAGAATCACAAAACAAAGTTAACTTAGGAATGCAAACAAATAACTTTAAAATTTAGAGGAGAACTTTATCAATCCTATTAGTTTGCTTAATTATTCAACTTGGTGGTTGCTCCAATGTAAGTAGAGAAGGGAGACAATGGAAAGAGTTGAAGTTTTAGAGATAGACAAACCTAGGAAGGAAGCACAGTTCTATCACTCACCAAATGGACAAGTTTCGTAGACTATGAAGATTAAAATACTTATAAAATGCCCAACACAGTAACACAAGCTTAATGTGGCTATTAATATTAGAGAGCAAGAGAAGATAAATCAAATACTAGTTTCTTGTTGATGTTTTAACCTGTAAGATTGTAATTAAACAAAAAACTTAACACCAAAAACACAAAAGTGGGGAAAACCTACACTTTTATTTCAGGTAGGGTATAAACACTAAATGCTGTCACTGGGAAACAGATCTTACATTAAATCTAGAAAGTATTAAATTCCTGGCTAGTTTTCACTCTTAATCTCTTCCATAATCAAGCTAAACTTTTGCGAAGAAAATTGCTCTCTGTTAGTCTGTGAGGTCCTTAAAGATAAAGACTTTACCTTGCTGAACTCTAACCCGACCACCAGCATTACCGGTACACAGAAGGCTGCTCAGTAGATTTTGGATGGATTAGTAAAGACACAGGTGGCTTAAACAACCCTAGAATGTTCAAGTCCAGAATTTTGGTGAAGCCAAAACACAGTTAGACTTGTACTAAAATTAAAACCAAGTCCAAGTTTTCAATTTTGAAAAAGTCAAAAGCCAAATGGTAAGCATTGATGTTTATCCAAGCAGGCCACACCCCCAAAACACAGATCCAAAACTATTTATCTGGTAAGAGGGTCAGAATTTTTTTTAAATGTGGGAGGAGAATATCAACTATTCAATACCCTTAAAAGTCAGGGGTTCCAAATGCTATTTTTCAAAGCAGCTGTAATATCCAACTGTCTGCTGATTTGGCTGGGGGCTATGGAGGGTTGGATAATGATTAAAACAAAAATATTAAAGCAAAAAAAAAAAGCATGCCACAATAAGTATGTTGTTTTCTGATTTCATTTTAATAAATTCTATTAGGTCAATATCCCTTAATTTCTTCTAGCAAATATTAACCTAAACATTTACACTACATGAAACTACTACCTCTTTCTGGGCGATCTCTTGTAACCGTCTAGGAAGGCGTTTGACATTGTGGCTCATGGCTCTCCGTCGCATGTGCCGTGGCAGAGTCTGGAAAACCAGTGAATTAGAAGACTTCTGGGTTACAGCTTTTAACATAGCACTGATTTCTGCAGCTCGTGCTTGAGCAAAAGTAGAAGCTGTTGAAGGAAATGACAATGTCATTAAAAATAAGTCTTAAATCAACAAGATTCGTTTTTCTGGTGGATTCAAAAGGCAGACAGACATGAAGTACATGAGCTTACAATTCATCCACCACCCTAACCCCCTTTTAGATGAATACTGATATAAAAAAAAAAAAAGAGCAATTTGTTGGCATATCTGGCTGTACTAGAAACAAAGGGCTCACAATACAATCCAACTTCACTTCTTTACCAATACCTACCAGTTATATACTTGGGAATCTCCTGAGAAGTGCCCTCGGGACCTGTTTTCCATCCTCCTTTTTTTTTAAACGTGACTCTGGAGGAAGACTGCTCATTCACATGAGGTTCAGGCAGTGAATGGGCAGTGATTTTGGTTTGCCGCTGTCGCGAAGTTCCAGAATGAGGCTCTAGTATATTTTCAAAAGGAAAACAAAAAGAAATATGTCACTCTTATCAGAGATAAAAATTATAGTGGAAAACAAACATTTGTTGGATGGCAACATTGATCACGTTTTTAGTACTACAACCACCGTATAAGGTAACTATCATGATCTCTTTTTAAAGAGGGATCTCGGATAGGGAGGTAAATTAACTTGCTCAAGGTCATAAAGCTAGTAGGTAGCATGCTAAGTAATCATTTCAGCAAGACATAAAAAACCTTGACTATAACAGATACAGGGGAAATTTTCTCAATATAAATATTGTAACATGAATTTTAAATCTAAGCTCCCTGCTATGGTCTGAATGTTTGTGCCCCTGGCACCCCAATTCCTGTATTTAAATCTTAACCCCCGGAGGTGATGGTATTAGGAGGTGGGCCTTTGGGAGATGATTAAGTCATGAAGACAGAGCCCTCATGAATGGGATTAGTGTCCTTATGAAAGAGGCCCCAGAGAGACCCTTGCTCCTTCCACCATGTGAAGGCACAGCAGGGTGCTGTCTATGAACCAGAAGGCAGGCCCTCATGAGACACCAAACCTGCTGGCTCCTTGATCTCGGACTTTTCAGACTCCAGAACTGTGAGAAATAAATTTCTGTTATTTATAAGCTACCCAGTTTATGGTACAGGTTGAGTACACCGTATCCGAAATGCTTGGGACCAGAAGTGTGTCAGATTCTAGATTTTTTCTGAATTTTGGAATATTTGCATATACCCAACGACATATCTTAGAGATGGGACCCAAATCTAAACAAGAAATTCAACTGTGTTTCGTATATACCATATACGCATAGCCTGAAGGTAATTTTATACAATTTTTTAAATAATTTTGTGCATGAAAACAAAGTTTGTGTACATTGAACCACTAGAAAGCAAAGATATCACTATCTCAGTCACCTATGTGGACAATCTGTGGTTGTTTGGCATCGCCAACATTCCTGACTCTGAATTTATATGCTACCGATCAGCAATCATTTTCTTACACTTATTCACAGATAAGTACTTAGTAAAAAATACTCACCGTTGAGGCCTCCAGCCTGCACACATGCCATTTTATCACCCTTCGTGGGCATGCTTACAAGATATATCACAGCTTAAAGGGCCTGGGAGAGCCTTTTTTCCCTTGGCAATGCTGAATAAACTATGTGTTGTGCACCTTTGTTTTGACTGTGACCTATCACATGAAGTCAAGTGTGGAATTTTCCACTTAAACAGCATCAGGTTGACACTCAAAAAGTTTCAGATTTTGGATTTTTGGATTAGGGATGGATGCCCAACCTGTATTTTGTTATAGCAGCCCAAATGACACTCCCTTAAATACTACAATCCACATGATTTTGTATATTCAGTCTAATTCTAATTCCAATTCAGTCTAATTCTCTGACATATTCAAGTCGAGAGCCACTATGCTAAACTAAAGGAAGTAAAAGCAGTCTCTATACAAGTGTCTGGGCATTCAAACCATTCTGACTTTAAGACAACATCAAATATCTGACTGTGAACAAAGGAAGAAATCAGCAGAGAATTCTATAGTGTTCCTGCTAATTTCCATTGTGGTGCTAATTATTAAGCCACTATAACCTTGGAACATGTTACAAAGTTTGTCATTGTGAGGCTTAAAAGAGATAACATATGTGAAAGGTTATCACATGGTATAGGCATCAATTGTTGGATCTAAATCTAGAGCTTTTAAATTTGACCCTAAATGTACTTAATCAGACTCAATGCACACAGTTTTTAAAGCATTCCAAAAAAGTTCTTGGCCACCTGCTTTTGCAGTCTGCCCAAACTGGAGTTTTCTACTGCTGCCCCAGTGAACAACTGTCACCTCTCATCACCTCATAAACTGCTAAAATCAGCCCACAAGTTAAATGTGATATGATGACTATACTGTATTTCTCTTAGGAAATGCAGAAGTGTAATTTAATAATAATTGATGTTAAGGTAGAAATAAAATATATTGGCTCTAAAATATCTATAGTCAATTTTCATTATTCGTAGTAGTTATGTTATATAAAATCATAGTGAGCAATGAATTAGTGAACACTGAACCCACTCCTCCTAGGAGATACATATATCACACAGATTATGATCTTTAATCCTAAAACAACTCATCCTGGTAGATTCTATTTCCTTTATTTTACAAAAGAGAAAATGAAGTTCAGAAGTGTTGAGGACCTGCATGAGACCAAGACCACCCTACAGTTGAGATTCAAACCCCAGGAGGGCTGGAGCTTCCTGCACTGCACTGTACTGCTCCTCCACTGCCTCGGCCCTCTGGCCACCTCCGTGGGAGGGCTAGAACAGGAAGGCAACCTCAGCTAGGAACGTCTACACAGGGCAACTCGAATTCTTCTTGCTCTGTGCATGTTCACAAATAACGGCCGAATCTCCATGGGTACTGATTTTGGGGTTACAAATAAACTTTAGTAAGTGGGCAAATTTGTGAATAGGAAATTCAAGAATAATGAGTGTCTACTGTATCTGTTTTTAAGTCAGCTCATTTACTACTAGATAACGACTGTCAAAAGAAGTTGACAAATGCAATTTAATCCAAATGGGAGTGGAGAGAGCATCGTGAACATCTTACCTTGTTTCTGAGGTTTCCCACCCCCATTATGGTGCTTTCCGCCTCTATCCGCCACAAAGCCAGAGGATAAAGTCACGTTGGTGGGCTGGTTTCTCATTTTTTTAGCATGTTTTCTTTCTTTTGCATTAGACATTTCTGGAAAGGAAGTCATAAATTTAACACAGAGAATGGAAAATTTCATTCAAAAATAAAAATAAATTTAATGAATAAGTATTCATGTGACTCAAAATAAACTTATTATGGAAGAGACACTATTAGCATACTCTAGTTTGCACTGGCAAATAATTAAATCAATTCAAATGTTGACACTACATAAAGTCTGTTGAAGAATGAAAAATGAGATAAGACAGGAGGTAAAAAAAATTTTAATTAAAAAAAATGAAATAAAATTTACATTTTATCTTGATTCTTAGGTGAAATAAGAGCCATCTCGATTAATGAAATATAGAACACCCTATTCAAAAGGATAACCTCTAAAAAAAACTGAGCATAAATTAATGATGTTTTCATTTCTACTCCTAAGATGAGGGCAGTTATATCTTGCTTTTGTTTTTACATAGGCAGAGTTCAATGATCTGTACCTTTAATTTATAATAGCAAGGCAATGATTTCCATTTGAAGAATGACAAAGAACAAAATCCTAGTGGAGCCTGGTTGATTTACTCAGTAGTTACCAACACTCAAATGCAATACTCCCTTTTTTGATTGATTCAGTTTGAAACTCCTGTTTTCTATTTTGAAATGAAATTAATATCATAACCTACTAGACATATAACTTTTACCAGTACATACCCTACAATATATGTCCTATTTGTAACATAAAAGAGAACTAAAAAGTTATTTTAATAAAATAATATGTATTTCTGTATGTAACCATTTCACCACAACTACACTAGATGACACGAAATAGAGATTTTGAACCCAGGAGATAATCACATCGACACTGGCACCAACACATGCATTGGCACAATCCATAAAGCTGAAGAAGGGTCCTAGAAGGCCTCCCACCCCTGCCCTGTGCAACAGTCATTAACTCTTTCATTGCTGACTATAGGGAAGTCTGAGGGTCCTACATGGAGATACATGGGGTAGGGAAGCTCAGAGTAACAGGTATTTACCAAGCTGTCCTCAAAGCATTTCAATTTTAATACTAGTCTTTACTTCTACCTATACATAGAATAACCATGAATGCAATAGCTAAAAAGGCAAAACAATACAGGTGTGTTGTACTAGTGCCTCAAAGAAAAGATAACAATACTACTAGTGACATAATTTTCCAAACTGGTGAACACTCCTTGATAAAGTACATGCCCCCTAAAAAAAGTACAAACTTGCTTTGATTTATTGCATTCCTGGAAAATTCAGTGTATATTAAAACTGCAACCAACACTTTTTTTTTAAGAGATAAGGTCACACGCTCTGTTGCCCAAGCTAGAATGCAGTGGCATGATCATAGCTTACTGCAGCCTCAAACTCCTGTGCTCAAGCAATCCTCCCACCTCAGTCTCCCAAGTAGCTAGGACTATTAGGCACGTGCCACTACATCTGGGTAATTTTTTTAAATTTTTTGTAGAGAGGGAGTCTCACTATATTGCTCAGGCTGGTCTTGAACTCCTGGCCTCAAGTGATCCTCCCCCCTCAGCCTCCCAAGGTGCTGGGATACAGGCATGAGCCACTGTGCCCACCCCACAACCAATACTTTTATGTAAAACAGTTAAGTACTGGGCTACTGTGGGACCTTCTTGCACATGGTAGGTTATCTAACATCCCTGGACCCTGCCCAACAAATGCCAGCAGTGTTACCCCAATCACTATGCCAACCACAGCACCTACACAAACTTCCAAAATGCCACATCAGGATTTACCCACTCCCACTGAGAGCCACTAAATTAACAACCACTCATTCACTTAGCTTCTTTTTCAATGCAAGACCTCATATAAAATTAAGAGCCCGTGTGTTGTAGTGTTTAAACGCCTTCACTCTGGAGTTAGAAAGACCTGGATTAAAATTCCTTCCTTACATTTTTAGTTACATAATCTTAGGAAAATTACTTTCCCTCTTTGAGCTTCAGTCTCTTCCTCTACGAGGTTGCCATGAGAATTAAATAAACATTTTATATACATATATATATATATGTATACACGCACACACACACGTACACATACTGTATAAGGTTTTGGCTTTATAAAACACATATACGCAACTCACTTAGCATGGGGCTTTACACAAACTAAATGCTCAGTTCATGGCAACTATTATATTATTCTTAAATAATAAATGAAGTAAACATGGATTTATGTCATTTCACTGTCTCACTCCACTCTGCTTTCACCTAAATGAAAGATAACTATATCTACACCCAAAAACATTTTTCAAATTAAACAACATATAGGAAGGAAACTGTAGAACGGTTGGCTAGTAAAGCACATGATTCAGATCAGTCTGAATTCAAACATTTTACAAAACAGTTTAGTCCATCTACTGTTACCTGCTTGTCAGCACTTACCCAGCATGACACAGCACCACCATGGGAACCCTAGCTCTATTCAGGATGAGAATGGGCCAAGAGCAGGCTGGTGCTGGAGGATTAGGGTAAGCTTGGGAATATCTCTGAGCTTTGCTTCGGAACTAGCAGTGCTCCTCAAACAGTTCTAACAGCAGAAGAGAATGCATCCTTATTGAAGTACGAGGATTCAGCTCAAAACAGCTTTTAGAAGGAATCTTAACTCTTTCTTTACCATTCGAGTCAATTTTACATCCATTCCTAATATTCACAGTTTGTGTTTGTTTTCATATTCATTCCTTTGGTCAAAACTTTAATAGGCACTAAAGATGTGCCAGGCTTTATAAAAATGTTTCCCCCAATCTTCAAATAAAATGAATATCATGTTTTCTCACACAGCTTAGCATCCTCTGGTTGACCAGACATACCCCTTGGTATAGTGGACTCCAGTCTGAGAACCTAGGAATTAACTAGATGATTTCAGTTTTCTTCCAGATCTAAAAACTTGGTGATTCAGATTTGATATAAAATCTGTCTTAAAAATAAAGATATCTTGTTTCACAAGAAATATTTTACACAGGTTGAATTATTTGTAATGCTCCAAGAAAGCTCCCTATGGAAAGAACTAACAAATTTTGGGGTACCTACTACGTGCCTAATAGTTTCAGGCTGTATGTAATACCAAAATAGTGTAAAGATACGGTCTTTTTCCTTAAAGAATTTAGTCATCTTGGCCAGGCGCGGTGGCTCACGCCTGTAGTCCTAGCTCTCTGGGAGGCCGAGGCGGGCGGATTGTTTGAGCTCAGGAGTTCGAAACCAGCCTGAGCAAGAGTGAGACCCTGTCTCTACTAAAATTAGAAAGAAGTTAATTGGACAACTAAAAATATATAGAAAAAATTAGCCGGGCATGGTGGCACACGCCTGTAGTCCCAGCTACTCGGGAGGCTGAGGCAGGAGGATCGCTTGAGCCCAGGAGTTTGAGGTTGCTGTGAGCTAGGATGACGCCACGGCACTCTAGCCCGGGCAACACAGTGAGACTCTGTCTCAAAAAAAAAAAAAAAAAAAGAATTTAGTCATCTTAGGTAGCTAACATTAATTGAGAACTTTATATGTCAGGCACTATTTTGCATGCCTTATTCATTTAATTCTCACAACTCTTATCAGGGAGGTACTAGTATGATCCTCACTTTATGAATAAAGAAATCAAAGCAAGACAGGTTATATAATCTGCCAAAGGTCACTAAGCTTGTGAATGTGCTGGGATTCAAACCAGGACTCTATTCACTATTCTTAAAACACGCAGTAATTAGAGAATAAAAGTACCTATAATAAAATATTAGATTCTGTAGTATAGTACAATAGGAAACCGGAGAAGGGAAAGAAAAAGCGTGAATCGGCAGGAAAAGTCCATCAGAAAACAGGATTTCAGTTAGCTGGAATTTGGATAGATAGGGAAGAAGAGTATTCAGCAATTTATTGTATGGGACTCTGGACTACTAAAGTGGGAAGAGAAAGTAGAGGAGAATGAAAAAAAATAGACAAGGGAAGGCCAGACTGAAAGGTCTTTTATTCCAAGCTGAAGCCCCAAACCGATGAAAAAGATCTGAAGGTTCTTGAGCGGAAAGTAGGAAGGCCAAAAACCTTAGCAGTATGTAAGGCAAAATGAGAGGGAATAAAGCAGATTTTCTTATATTATGCTTTGGAAGCAGGAAGGGCAGAGATCATATCTTTCTTCACTACTGCATTCTCACCACCTAAGCAGAGTGCCCTGCAAAAAATAGGGGCTCGATATCTATTTGTGAATGAATGCACGAACGCATAAATGAAGACGTGAATCGTGCCTACGATGCATATATTAACAGGATAAGAGACATTTAGCCAAGTACCAGCCTTTCTGACATAGCAGATTTTCACAGGGTATCTGGGCCATTAGGTAGATCACTATCTTTTTGAAATCAGATCCCCAGGCACTAGAGTTCTGTTCAGATAGAAAGAGACACTGTAAAGCCCGAGGACCACTCAAGAGAAGGAAACATAGGAAGAGAGGGAAGGTGGACAACGCCCAGATCTCAGCGTGGTCCCTGAATGACCCATCTTACTCCTTCAGCATGGCAGAAGAGCGGGTGCAAGCCCATTCCCGGGACGGCCTCCGCCCGGAGGGGCAAAGAAGGAAAATGACAGTCGTAGTAGGCAGGGGCCGAAGGAGATGTGGCACGGGCAAGAGGGGCCCCGGACACAGGCAGCCAGGGAAGGTCCGCCGAGTCTGAGGGAAAGATGCGAAGTGAGACGGCCGAGGGCGCGGCCGCCGGGCGGGGGCCGACACACACACTCCCCCAAACTCGCGGGCCCTGGAAGGCACCAGCCTCTCATGACCTACCTGCCAGATGCTCTGAGGGTTCCCTGGGTCAGAATGACAAGCCTCGGCGACGACAGTCCCCACCAAGGCGACAAGGACAGCGAGCGAACTGGACAGCGCATGCGCCAGCCCGGCCGCTTCCTCCACGTGGCCTGGAGTGGCGCCGAGACTACAGCTCCCAGAATGCCGTGCGAAACGGGCCCGCGGGCTCCTTCGCTAGTGACGTTGGTCAGTCAGCTGAGACTCGAGTCCGGCTGCAGTCGGGGCTTGTTCTCTCCGAGGGGCCGCAAGAGTGAAGGATTGGCCATGTCGTCCTTGATCAGAAGCGTGATCAGCACCGCGAAAGTCGCGGGGCCCATTGGCCCCTACAGGTAACGAGGGGAACACTGACAGACCTGGGGCGTGTGGCGTCGGGGGTTCGGGGTTGGGGCCCCTCCGGGTCAAAGCCGTCCTGAGCAGCACCGTGGAACACATGAAGAAACTGAGCAGGAAAGGGGGCAGCGCACCCGGAGACCATAGTGAGTTGGGAACCCCAGTGGAACCGGGAGCCTGCGCTCCAGGGAACTCTGCCCCTCGCTGCCGAGCCCTGCCTGCCAGGACTCTTTCTCTGGTTAGAAGAGAAAGACCGCTTTTTCTTTGGGGCGGTTTTGTAATAGCTTCCTTGAGATATAATTCACATACCATAAAATTCACCCCTTTAACATGTTGTCGAGGGAGAAGAAGCCAAACTCTGTAAAATAATTTTAAAGAGATTTATTCTGAGCGAAAATTGAGGACCATGGCGCGGAGCCACATCCAAGAAGCCTTGAGCATGTGGACTCGCTGTGGTTGGGTTAAAGTTCGGTTTTATACATTTCGGGGAGACATGGGTTACAGGTAAAGTCATAAATCAATACCCGAAAGGCATACATTGGTTTGGCCCAAAAAAATGGGCCATCTTGAAGCGGGGGTTGGGGGGGCTTACAGGTTATAGGTGGGTTTAAAGATTCCTTTACTTGTAATTGGTTAAAGATATGAAGCTTTGTCTAAAGGCTTGGAATATTTTAAGATAAGGAGGTCTGTTGAGATCAGCCACCCGACATATATTTGTTGTGTCAATTGAGGACCTGCAGGTTTGTCTTGCACGGCCTTAGGCCTGTTACTGAGTTACAAAGGATGTCTCCAGAAAGGGAGGGGGGCATGATGAGGCATGTCTGACCTCCCTCCTCAGTGGCAGACAATTTAGTTTTAGGACATCCCGTTGGTCAGGAGGGGGTCCATTCAGTCAGCAGGTGGACGAGGAGCCTTAAGATTTTATTTTAGTTCACAAGGTACAATTCAGTTTTTACCATACTCACAAAATTGTGCAGCTATACCACTTTCTAATCTTAGAACATTTTCATCACCCCAAAAAGAAATCCCATACCCGTTAGCATCCACTCACCATTCTCTTCCCCCAGCCCCTGACGACTACTGATCTACTTTCCATATCTATGGATTTGCTTGTGGTAGACATTTCCTGTAAATGGAATCATAAAGTATGCTCTCCTCTGTGCCTGGCTTCTTTCACTTAGCAGATTAACATTCCAGATGTTTGTCTCTTCTGGGGAAAGCTGAGTTCCTTTCACAGATATGCTTAGCAAATCCCTGCACATCTACCCAAGCCACTGGTTTTTACAACACTTATAGAAATGTCATTGTGATGTTTATAAATTCATTGTGCATTCTTATTTCCCACTGATAAATAAAATCAAATACAAATCACTGCAAAGCTTATTTTCTAAGATTGCCCAACATATTCTAGCTAAATATTAAATATCTGTATACTTGTCAGGGAGTCTACCCTGTGTGTATTTGTTTCCACTTTTCAGAAGTGCTTTTAAATAGAAAGGTTAATTCCTTTCTTTAAACTTCATTTTCTTAAAATGTCTCAGCTTTAAAACTGTTGGATCCTGCCAGGTGTGGTGGCTCACACCTGTAATCCCAGCACTTTGGGAGGCCAAAGCCAAAGGATCACTTAAGCCCAGCCATTTGAGGTTGCAATGAGCTGTGTTGGCCCCACTGCACATTCCAGTCTGGTGGGTGACAAAGTGAGACCCTGTCTCAAAAAACAAAACAAAAAAAAGCCCACAACTGTTGGATCTTATCCTTTTCATTCTTGGAGATTTTTTTTCCTAATATAATTTTTGTTGTGTTTTTTTTCCTCCGTTGCTTGAATTAGAATTGTTATTTATTTTTAATTCTTCACTAAAGTATATCCTGTAACCCCTTTTCGATTTTTCCTTTTTAAAATACAATTTATAGTGTCTACTCACTATTAAAAAATCCAAAATGGGAAAATTTCTACAGCTGAAACATTTGAACCATGACAGACATGTATTGAATGGCTACTATATGCCAAGTAATTCGGAAATGCAAAAACATATGAAAAACAACCCAGTGTGAAGGATATTCTTCACATACATGGGGGAAAGAAAACGAAACATCTTCATTTTGTGCATGCTATATGCCAAGCTCCAAGACAACCACCTTCTTCTACTCTTAAGTCCCATCCCTGTTTTACAGAAAGAAAACTGAAGCTCCGGGTCAACTTGTCCAAGGTCAGATAGTCCATAAGTGACAGCTTGGTTCGAACTCAAGCCCAAGCTCCCTACTCTATACTACACTGCAATGAGAAATAGCACTTAGACGTGGCAGAATAGTATTAAATGATTACTATAGTAGGCTTGGAAATAAAATGCAGTGGGCATAAGGTGGCAAGTTGGGGAGAGGGTGAAGGAGAAAAAGAGAAATCAATTCTAATTTGGGGTAGAGAAAGAAAAAGAGTATTAGTAAAGCTCCTTGTGAGGGGTAGTCCTTGGGTTTTGAATGTTGCATTTGCCATTTACAGTGGTGTTGTATAAAGTTTGATTTTTAAATTAATCTGTTAAGGATTTCAACAGGAAGTCATTGAATGAAGGGTATTCCAGATAGAGGGAAGGGCTTGAGTGAGGGCATAGAGGTGGAAGAATGCATACCATAAAGATTTTTGGGGTAGTTTTAGTAATTCAAGTGCCACTTTTCTTTTTGTTTCTTTTTCTTTTTTTTTTTTTTTTTTTTTTTTTTTTTTTGCCAAATCTGTACTACCTGTATTATAATTTACTTAACATATTTCTTTGAGATGGCTCACTTTATTTAACAAGTTAGTTTAAAAAGGAAACTTTACAATAGTATGCTAAATAGAAAACAATCCAATAGAAAGTAACAGTGAGAAATAAACTCTTAAATAAAAGTATTATTAAATTCTAGCTAGATATTGCAGTTGGCTCAAAACCTGAGGCCTGTTCTCTCTTTATTAAAAGTGATGTTTCTTTAAACTTGTTTTCTAAAAATGATAATTTTTTCTTCTTAATGTAAACAGAAGGGTTAAATTCCTAATTACTAACACTTATTGATGCTTACTCAGCACTAGGCACTGTTCAAAGTGCTTTACGTACACGGTTACTATTATAGTTTCCATTTTTCAGATGAAGAAACTGTATGCAAGATTAAATAGTTTGGCCAAGGTCACACCACTGAGAAGTGGTATGAAAGAATTTGAATTTAGGCAATCGGTTCCATAGCTCAATCTTAATCATTTAGTTTTCTGTCCTGTAGAATTGAAAGGGAATTATTTCTTACTGTGATCACTGTGTATGACAGACCCCTTTGGGAAATACTGATTAAGAGTTAGACTGGATTTGAATTTTGGTTTTGCCTCTTTTTAATTGTATGACCTTGCGGAGTGACTTAACCTTTCTTAGTTTGTTTCTTTATCTTCTAAATGAGCACAACAATAATACTTCTTCATAAGATTATTGTGAAAATTAAGTAAAACAGACCAATAAAAATTAGATTTTAGCAGGGTCCAGGTTGTGATGATTTCCAATATTAAATTGAAGAGTATGAACTTTATTTTGTATATAATGAGAAGCCATCAAATGTTTTTGAGAAGGAAGGAACATGATCAGATCTATTTTAAGAAGAGAATTCTGATAGAAATTTGGAGGAGAAGACAGAATAGTTACAGGGATTACAATATAAGTAAAAATCAGTAATCTTTCTCCTCCTACTCTGATGCCTCTCCTCAATCATGCTGTAGTAGCATTTAGAAAAACACTTCAGAACAAAAGTGACGCTTAACAAAAATCAAAGTGATTATAAGAGACTCTTTGTCCTGGAGCCTGCTAAAGAGCATACAGCTTCTTGACCTATTTACTGATACTGTGTACTTTGTTCAAAAAAGAAAGCACGAGGTGGGTGTCACCTGTCTATAAAGCTGCAAGCAAAACAAAGGAGAATCATCATGAATGTGCCAGTATGACAAGAGAAAAGCCATCAACCAGCTTTATAGTATGGAGATTTTCTAGGACATTGTTCCTCTTGTGTACTAGGTGACTAGAAATGGTGCTTATTATGTTCAGTATTTTATGTTTAAGAAAAAAGTATAACAACTAACTGGTTATATCCTGATAAAGTTCATTGCACAAGAGGTTTTGTGCATGGTGTTTATAGTGAGTACATTTTTTGAAAATTTGGGTCCTCTCCAGGAAGAATTCAAGTGTGTTGAACTTTCAGTCCCTGGCATTGGAATGAATGGGGTATTGTCACTAATTAGCCAGTTAGCTCAGCACATTTCGGGAACACTTCAGGACAGAACCTTGAAAGATTTCAACATCACATTGGTTTGCATTGCTTTCTATTTCGCTGGCACACCATCCAAATAGTCATAAATTTTGAAGCAATAGCCCATGTGGCATAGGTTATGATATGCGAATAATTTGAATACTTTTGAAATTGTGATTACTTTTTGACCTGGAAGTAGAACAACAAACCTAAATTTTCTGGAGCCTAATGAGTTGTCTATAGGGTGCTTGTGCTCAGAAAGTGTCAACTATCCAATTATTTTTGTGAACAAACTTCTTTAAATCTGTAAGAGATAACTCACATAGCTCAGATGGTCTCAAGAGTTCCCCTTACTTTTAATATTCTGAAAATACAAGTGTATCTTTTACTATGTTAAAGTTTTTGATAAATGACAATGCATATGGGCTTAAATTATGTTTTGAATATGGGGAGAGTTGAACGTACTTTGTAAAGGGCCTAGGGCAGGCAGCCTAATTCTACACAGGACAGTTAATAGCTATGGTACTATTTAACCTGAGAAAAGATTACAGATTAACAAGCTCCATAGTTACCTGTTTGTGGGCCAGTGTGAAAGCCAGATAGTTGAGAAGAATTCCTAGACTTTCTGAATCCTGTTACCGAGTTGAAACATACCTTCAGCTCTCCACAGCCCACCTTGTAAGCCAGGTCCTGCTAAAAAGATATTCATTGACAACCAAAATTGTTTATGCTACTAAGTGGTTAAAGAGCAAAACATCAACAAGTAGTTACAGTGTGCCTGCTGTGTACAGGGAATCACCTAGGCTCTACATAGCTACAGAGACATGGTAAGACACTACCCCCACCCTCAAGAGTTTAGAATCAAAGATACCCTGGAAGACAGGATAATAATAGGACTAGTTAAAATACGAGGCAGAATCCTGTGCATGGTAATAAGAAAGGCTCAACCAGAGGACCCCTGGGATCCAGGGGGGAAAAAGCCTTAGTTACTTAGGGAAAATATGTGTGTGTAATGGTTTTTAGTGTAATTTTATTTATGATAACAAAATATTGGAAGCAATGGTGACTGGTTAAATAAAAGTATGTTCATGTAGTGAAATGTTATGTAGCAGTTAAAAAGAATGAGGAAGCATTCTACATAGAGTTACAGAAAGGTCTTCATGATATACTGTTGGGTGAAAAAAGCAAAGTGTATAAGAGTGTTTAATATACCATATTTTGTGTAGGAGGGAGCAAATATATATATATATTTATTCATATGTATAGGAAGAAACTTCAGAAGAATACATAAAGAACAGTGGTTCTTAGCTGGGAACTGAGCAAATGCGGAACAAGGATGGAAGGGAGCCCTTTCATTATGATTCTTTGTATATTTTCTGGATTTTTGAACCATGTTAATGCTCTGCTATTCAAAGAAGGTAAATCATAAAGAAAAGATGTGGTCAAGAAGAACAGAGAAAACATCATGAAATTTTATTTCATCATCCGTGAAATAAAAGAGGAAAGTTTGGACCATGTTGGAATACAGAAGAATAGGCAACTATTCTGATTAAAATGAAAATATCTTAAATTTCTAAATAAGCATGCAAATGATAAAACAAATTTCACTTTTAAATTAAAATTATATTAGGGTTTCTGTCTTCAACGTCTTAAAAAACAGGCTGTCTTTATCCCAAAAGTAATACATTTCCTGTAAGAAGTTTAATTGTTTGAATTTTTTCATGTATCTATGTAGCATATTCTTTTTCCTGTGATTTTATCCTAATTCAGAACAAGTCAATTACAAAAGTAAGCACTTCGCAGAAATGAAGTCTAGCCTCAAAAGTGCCTCTTTGGATGGGCGCAATGGCTCCCGCCTGTAATCCTAGCACTCTGGGAGGCCAAGGTGGGAGGATCGCTTGAGGTCAGGAGTTCGAGACCAGCCTGAGCAAGAGTGAGACCCCCATCTCTACTAAAAATAGAAAAATTAGCCAGGTGTGGTGGTGCACAACTGTAGTCCCAGTTACTTGGGAGACTGAGGCAGGAGGATCACTTGAGCCCAGAGGTTGGTGTAAGCTAGCCTGATGCCGTGGCACTGTAGGCCAGGCGACAGAGCAAGACTCTATCTCAAAAAATAAAATTAAATTGAATTAAATTAAAATAAATAAAATAGTAAAATAAAAAAATAAAATAATCTTTATTTAGAAAGCATTTGTACTATTTTGCATTCCTACCAAAAATGTATGACCATTCCAGTTGCTCTACATCATCACCAATGCGTATTATTATCAATGATATCTGATTATGTGTAATGGTATTTTGTGGTTTTGCTTTGCATTTCTCTAATGACCAATAATGTTGAACAACTTTCATGTACTCCTTAACTCTTTGTTTTTTGTTTGGGTTTTTTTGAGACAGGGTCTCACTCTATTGCCCAGGATCGGGTACAGTGGCGTCATCATAGCTCACTGCAACCTCAAATGCCTGGGCTCAAGCAATCCTCCTGCCTCAGTCTTCCCAGTAGCTGGGACTATGGGAGCGCACCACCATGCCCAGTTATTTTTCTATATTTTATAGAGAGGGGATCTTGCTATGTTGCTGAGGCTGGGTTCGAACTCCTGGCCTCAAGCAATTCTCCTGCCTCAGCCTCCCAAAGTGCTAGGATTACAGGAGTGAGCCACTGTGCCCAGCCCATCTTTGTATATTTTCTTTTGTGAAATATCTGCGTAAATCATTTGCCTAGTTTTTATTGGGTCGTTTGTCTTTGTATTATTGAGTTATAAGAGTTCTTTATATTTTTTGATAAACAAGTTTTTCATTTTAATAAAGTCCAAATTATCTTTTTAAAAAATTTTACAGTTTGTGCTTTTTGTGTCCTATCGAACAACTCTTAGCATTGGATTTTATATTTTATACTTATATATACACTGGCTTTCTGTTTATTGCAGTCAAGCTGTATTGGTCGACAGGACCGTTTACATTTCAGGACAGATAGGCCTGGACCCATCAAGTGGACAGCTTGTGCCAGGAGGAGTAGAAAAAGAAGCTAAACAAGTAAGTCATTTGCCACATTTGAAGTTCCTTTTCTATTACTTTTTAATGTTGAAGAGTATTAATAATCTACTTGCCTGATTTATTTTATAGAAATTAAAAGATAAATGCTTTTTGAACTATTTACTTCTTGATTTAAGACAGTTTTTTGATTTAAGAGTTGAAAATTTGATGAATCATTTAACAACTAAAAAGATTCCACTTCCTTATCACTAAAGTGACTTTAAACCTGAATTGTTAACATCAGATAACATGTTACCACTTCTACATGGATTGGGAAATTTTTTTCTTTTCAGGGCCACTGACCTGTCCTGCCCCCTAAAAAACAACAACAAAAACAAACACCACCACGAAGTTAAAAAGCAAAAGTTGTTAAAAATAAGAATGGGAAATATAATTCTAATCCAATAGAATTAAAACTGTAATTTAACACATTCACCGAGTTGTTTGTAATACCCAAAGATAGAAAACAATCTATAAATGTCTAACCATAAGGAACTGGTTGAATAAATCATGCTAGATCCATACAACTAAATTGATATGGAAAGAGCTCCGAGATAAATTGTTACATGATAAAATAAAACCAAGAGGCAGAACAGCATGCACAGTACGCTCCCATGTGTGCATATCTGTGTATTTAAGAATATGTATCTTTATTGGCTGGGCATGGTGACTCATACCTATAATCCTAGCACTTTGGGAGGCCAAGGCAGGAGGATCACTTGAGGCCAGGAGTTCAAGACCAGCCTGGGCAACAAAAGCTCAAGCAGTCCTCCCACCTCAGCCTACCTAGTAGCTGGAACTACAGCGCAAGCCACCATGCCCAGCTGTTTTTTTTTTTTTAGAGATGGGGTCCAGCTATTAGGGAGGCTGAGGTGGGAGGATTGTTTGAGCCCAGGAGTTCAAGGTTACAGTGAGCTATGATCGCACTATGGCATTCCAGCCTGGGTGACAGAGCAAGACCCCATCTCTTAAAAAAAAAAAAAAAAAGTAGATTTATGCTGGTGTCTCTAGAAGGGTATACAAGAAACCAGAAACAGTGGTTACCTCTGAGGAGGGAAACTAGGGAAAGAGAGTAAGGGTAGGAGACATCTTTTCACTGTATAGCTTTTCTTGTGGCTTTTGAATTTTTTTTTTCCATATCCATGTATTACCTATTTAGAAGACTGTTATTAAAAAACATAAAAATAAAATTAAATGTTGCATTGTAACCAGTAACATGGGGAGGAAGAATGAATTGGAAAAAAATGGATAGGGTAAAAAGTTTTTTCAGAGGCCGGAGTGTCATTTACATAATTTACTAATATTGTTTTTTGACAAAAAGGAAAAAGAAAACTTTAAAATCAAATACTGCTCTAAAAGAAAATGTGTTTTAATGCTTACTAACTCATACTTATCCTTGAAGCGATAACAGAGTAAGCAACCCCAGAAATTATTTGTTTCAGCCTAACGGACATTTACTGAAAACTTGACACATTTTAGCACTGAAGAAGGGACTTCAACCCAATTTTTTACTCACAAAAGGAGACAACCTTTTCATTGTATTTTAGAAAGACTCATTTTGTTAAAGGAAAGCCAAGAAATAATTCACTTGTATAGAAGTGGAGGAGGGAAAATTTTTCTGCAACATAAGCTATTTAAGGGGGTATTAGTAAAAGATGATTAATTGAATTTAATTGAAACTTTAAATATAACATCAGTGTCTTAGCCCTTTCTTGGCTTGGTTCGCAGGCTCTTAAAAATATAGGTGAAATTCTGAAAGCTGCAGGCTGTGACTTCACTAATGGTGAGCAACTTGATATTACTTCACATTTCTGTTTGATATTTCTTTGGTGTGTTTGAAAAACATGGCATGCAGTAATACGTCATGCCGTATCTTTGTTGCTTTTTAAAGTTGTTTTAATGGTCTGGGAAACAACACTGTTCACTTCAGTCTTATTTTAATCAAGATAGTCACAGAATCATACACTGTTTTGCTTACTAATGTTTTGGATCAAAGAGCTAAATCTAATGATAGTGTATATATCTTCTAGTGGTAAAAACAACTGTTTTGCTGGCTGACATAAATGACTTCGATACTGTCAATGACGTCTACAAACAGTGTAAGTAATTTGGCTTTATTTCTATTAAAGAGAAATTAATATCTTAAATGAATTTTCACTATGAATTAAGAGTAATAGGAAATGCTAAGAAATGGTCATAGCCTGTAGTCCCAGCTACTCAGGAGGCTGAGGTGGGAGGATCGCTTGAGCCCAGGAGTTCAAGGGTGCCGTGAGCTATGATTGTGCCATTGCACTCCAGCCTGGGCAACAGAATGAGACCCCATCTCAAAAGGGAAAAAAAGGTCATAGATCCTATCCTAAAAGAATTAGTAGTCTAATTGGAAGTATACAGTATACCCCCATGAAAAAGATTAAAGACATTTCTATTGCATTCCCTAAAACAATATACTATATATCCATTGGATATGTAGTATATATAGATCCTATATATCCATTTTCCTAAACCTTAATTTTGTTGCACCCTTCTCAGGCTTTTTAAGCCCATTTTTTATACACATAGATTGTATTTCCTATTACTATGTGGTCCAGCCACCATCTTTATTCTGGCTCTCTGAGAATTGTTAGCTAGTTAGTTACTTAACATTTCTCTGCCTCGGTTTCTTCATATGCAAAATGGAAATGATATACTGCTACCTTATAGGGTGGTTGAAATGAATAAATGAGTCAATACACATGTAAAGCACTTAGAACAGATGTTAGCATGTTGTAAGCACTGAGTAAACATTAGCTATTATTAACGTTGTTGTCATATTGGGGAAAATGGGTATCCCTCCCACCTAGTGGGATGAAACAAAGGTGTAACATGGAAAAACCATCATTACTTATTCTCTCCTGAAGAAATGACTAGAGAAGACCAAAGTTGGCAGAGAAAGTACTTGCCAAAATTTTTGGAGATGGGCAATTCTGTTTAGATAACTAGTTTGTAAATATCACTTTAAAAACAAAACCTCATTCACATCAAACAAAATCAAAGTATCAAAATACATATTTCATTTTTTTTTCAGAAAACTAACACATTTAGAACATATAGGAATTATATGGTAAAATATTTTATCAAACAAATCCAAATGTGAGCTTTTTTTAAATGTTGCTTATATTTAAGAACTGATTAGTCTATGAGGCACTTGTCAGATTCTTGATTATACAGTGTTGAATAATAATACAATTGCTAAAAACTAAAATGAAATTCTTTTAAATTCAGATTTCAAGAGTAATTTTCCTGCAAGAGCTGCTTACCAGGTTACTGCTTTGCCCAAAGTAAGTACACTTTAAAATAACTAATGTACACAATTTTAAATTTCCACATTGTTTTCTGAAAATAACAACCTAAGCACTATGAAAGGAAGCTGAAAAAGAAAAGAGGTACTCCCTGTTTTCCAGGAACTTAAAGTCTAAGTGGAAACATCCCGTATTACATGCATGGAAAAAAAATTAAGAAACTTTACAAAATAACACATTAACGTGACCCGAACAGAATCAGAGTACTTAAATCATGAGAAGAAGTAAAATAGCAGCTATATTGTAGTAATGTTACTTAGGGGACTATAAATTTTAGCCGGGTTTGTTTGTGAGTTCTGCAGTAAAAATTTCACTTGGCTATTATATAAAAAAAAATCTAGACCGTCCACTAGAAAAGTAACCTCTATACCGGTGGTGCACATGTTTCTCACCATTCTGATTTTGATGTTCTAACTAGAAGCTGTGCCTTTTACTAATAGCAGCATAATATTGCTGCCTATAAAAAAAGCAGCTCTTAATGACTTCCACTTATAATTTTCTACTAAAGAAAATTTTATCTCCTAAGAGAGGCATTTTTATTGTTTTAATTAGTTGTTACCTGGAATGATCATTATCAAACTTATTAAGGTATTGGGTATAGTAGAAAGAGCTCTGAATGTAGAATCACAAGATAAGGGTTTGAACCTCTGCTATCTATTAATAGCTTTGTGAGTTGGGTTGAGTTATTAATAATTTACCTTTCTAAACTTCAACATATTTTATGAATTGAGGGGAAGACATCTATGTAAATACGTAAACAGGGCTGCTGTGAGAACCATATGAGCTAATATAGTAGATAAAATTGCGTGGTGTGGTAACCTGGCCTATTGTACGTTCTTAGTGAATATTTCCTTCTCCTGTTCTTCTTTGAAGTTTAATGTTAAAAATACTGTATTGTTGTTGGTTGCATATGTTTTTAGTGAGTACTGTGGAACTCTTACTTTGTACAAAATGATTGAAACATTGTTTCATTATTTTCCTCACAGGGAGGCAGAATTGAAATTGAAGCAATAGCTGTCCGGGGACCTTTTACAGGACCATTACTATAAGTGGGCCTAGTGTTTAGTCTGGAATTTTTAACATCTTAATTTTTATAGTTGATATAATATCTTAATTAACCTCTTAATTTTTATAATTGATGAAAGCATAAGCTTGACTAAAATCTGATGTTATCATGGAAATATCATATAATAGGGGTAGTTGAACATGAAGATTAGATAATGTATCCACTTGCTGGTGTGTAAATTACACTTATATATACCCATATGACTGAATGTAGGAAAGAGATACTCATTACATAGTTACTTAAATAAATAAAAGTAAAGGGAAATAACAGGTAGGAAAGATGAGTTATTATTTCTGAGAAATAATCAAAAGCACACTAATCAAACTAATGATGTGAAATATTCTCATGTCAGATCTGTGATTCTTTTAGTTGAGTAAAATTAAAGTATTTAAATATGAATGATAGAGGTCTAGGAGAAGGAAGTGGACCAAAATTTTATATAGATTAATGTTTTTGTAATGGAAATAAACATGCATATTTTCCTTGGCGTGATTTTGTTATTTTTTTAACCGTTTAATTTATACGTTAAAACATATTACCTAATAAAGGAGAGAGGGTGTAAAGTTAAATCTCTGACTATTTCATTTCTCAAAGCTTACTTCTGACTTTGTACATTTTTACAAGTCTTTTAACATTTTTAGACAACTACTGCATGAAAACCTCCTTTTTTGTAGAATGCATTCCAACACAGAATTACGTAGATTTAAAAAAGTTCCCTTCGCGCATTCTCCATTCCGCTTACCTCCCCAAAGAGAATACACCACTACAGAGTTTTGTGTGTAACTGACAAGTAGCTTTCTTTTTATTACGTACTAGATTACCTGGTTTGGTTTTGTGTGTTTACATCAATGGAACTTTTCTGCATACATTATGTTGAAGATCTTTCCATATAAATACATACAGATCTACCTCTTTTTTAAAACTGCTGCAGAGTATTCTTTTGTGTGGATATATATACCTTAAGTGATTTAACCATTCCTCCAAACAATTTGTTGTTTTCAAAATTGTCATAGCAAGGCTTCCATAACATTCTTCACACATACACATACCACAAAAAAATTACACATACCACAAAAAAATTACACATTAGATTATTAAGAGCCATAGGGAAAAGCAAAGCAAGGGGAGTTGGAGAATATTTGGGGGGATTAAACTTTTAAGCTCAGTGAAAAGAGAAGGCCTCACTGAAGTGATATTGGAGTTAAAAATGGTTATTGAAATTTATTGAATATTTTTCTGTATGAGAGCATATGATTTTTCTCATTTAATTTGCTAATATGGTAAAACACAGCTAATTAACTTTATAATGCAGAACCAACTTTGCATTCCTAGAGTAAATTCATTCTGGCCCATACAGGCATCCCTTGGTATATGCAGGGGATTGGTTCCAGAACCCCCCGCCCCATACCTAAATCCAGGCATACTCAAGTCCCACAGTGGCCTGTGGAACCCACGTATACAAAAAGTCAGACCTTCATATACATGGGTTTCACATCCCACAAACACTGCATTTTTTATCCACACTTGATTGAAAAAAATCCTCATCAAAGTGGACCCATGTAGTTCAAACCCATGTTGTACAAGTCAACTATATGTGTATTTATATATACATACACAGATGTTTTTATAATGTATATGATTTATATATTGAAATTGATATTTTGTTTAAGATATTTACATTTATGTATACATTTGTGAAATTGACTTTTTTTTTTTTTTTTTTTGAGACAGAGTCTCCTCTCTTGCCTGGGCTAGAGTGCCGTGGCGTCATCCTAGCTCACAGCAACCTCAAACTCCTGGGCTCAAGCAGTCCTCCTGCCTCAGCCTCCCAGGTAGCTGGGACTACAGGCATGCGCCACCATGCCCGGCTAATTTTTTTTCTTTATTTTTAGTAGAGACAGGGTCTCGCTCTTGTTCAGGCTGGCCTTGAACTCCTGAGCTCAAACGATCCGCCCGCCACGGCCTCCCAGAGTGCTGGGATTACAGACATGAGCCACCGCGCCCGGCCTGAAATTGGCTTTTTTAAAGGGGTTTATGGTTGTAAATATCATCCTTGAATGTTTGATAGACATATAAAACATAGCCTATAAAACTAGGCTGGGTATTTTCTTTGGGGGAAAATTTTAAACTGATCATTTCATGGTAACAGAAACATTGAGATTTTCTAGTTTTCAGTCAGTTTTGGTTATGTACAGTACTGTAGAATTTGCATATTTCATCTAAGTTTTCACATTTGTATGCATCTTTTTAATCTCTGCTGTATCAGTATTGAAGTACCCCCTTTTCATCTCTAATATGGTTTATTTGGGCTTCTTTTTCTTTATCAGTCCCAGAAGTTTATCAATTTTATTAATCTTTTCGAAGAACCGCTTTTTGACTTTGTTCATTCTTTCTATTATATCTTTATCATTAATTTCTGCTCTTATATTTATTATTTCCTCCAGCTCTTTTTTTTTTATTGTTTTTTTAGAGATGGGGTCTTGCTGTGTTCCAGGCTGGAATGCAGTGGTGTGATCATAGCTCACTGCAGCCTCAAACTCCCGGACTCAAGCCATCCTCTTGCCTGAGCCTCCTCAGTAGCTGGGACTACAGGTGCATGCCATGATGCCAGGCTAAGGCTATTTTTTTTTTTTTTTTGGTAGAGTGATCTCACTTTGTTGCTCAGGCTAGTCTCAGACTCCTGGCCTGAAGTGATCCTCCTGCCTCAGCCTCCAAATTCACTGGGATTATAGGTGTGAGCCATGGCACCTGGCGTCCAGCTCATTTATAAGACACCTCTTTCTATTTTTAATATTAAGCGTCTTAATTAATGGTAAATGACAGAAACCAAAACTCAAACTAGTATTAAGTGGGATAAAAGGAATTCATAGGCTCAGGTCATACAGAAGTCCAAGGTACAGGCTGACTATAGGCACACGTGGTCCAGAAACCTCACCGCTCCATCTGTCTCTTGCGATAAGATACTACATGCCCAGACATACAGGCTACCAATGTACTAACCCCAGCAAAAAAGATATTATTTCCTGATATCTCTGGCAGGAGAATCTCAGGGAAGCCTCTGATTGGTCCAGCTCAGGTTAAGGGCCAATTCCTAAACGAAAGCCAAGAAATTGGATACTCTGGCCATGTTGGGCCTAAGGGGTATAGTATATATAGATCATGACTTCAAAATCAAACCCTAGGCTGGGAGTGGTGGCTCACGCCTATAATCTTAGCACTTTGAGAGGCCAAGGCAGGATGATCACTTGAGGCCAGGAGTTAAAAACCAGCCTGAGCAAGAACAAGACCCCATCCCTACAAAAAATAGGAAAATTAGCCAAAAAGTAGGAAAATTCTAACTTGTGGTGCATGCCAGTAGTCCTAGCTACTTGGGAGGCTGAGGCAGGAGAATCGCTTGAGCCCAGGAGTTTGAGGTTGCAGTGAGCTATGATGATGCCACTACATTCTAGCCCAGGTGACAGAGTGAGACCCTGTCTCAAAAAATAAATAAATAAATAAATAAAACTCTAGAGTGAAAGAGCTAGAAATATTAATAAGATGCTGGTACCCAAGTTAACACATTTGTTTGTGACTGGGTCTGAACTTAGAGTCTTCTTTCCATACTGAAGGAGAATCACTAGATTTTGTTAAGTGTGAAAAAAACACATTGCATGTTGGCCTTTCAAACATACTTAAAGATATAGCAATCTCTTTGAAGTATGAAATATCTAAAAAGTCACCATATTTCCTTGCTGTGACATATTCCTTACCTTGACAAAGTATGTAATTTAACATCTGCTATTTTTCAGGACATAATCAAAAGAAATTTCATCTTTCTATAAAACAATTCAGATAAAAAAAACTACACCAAGAGAGGCTTTCCAACACTTTATTGGTTCTAATAGCATATTTATTCAACCAAAATTATAAATGTTGAACTAGCAATACAAAACCATTTTATAAAAATTTTGGCCATAATTTCCCCAATAGCCAATTATATTTAGTTATAAGGAAACTACCATGATCACATAGGGATAAAGAGTATTTTTCATCAAATATTTACAGAATGACAAACTTATACAGGCCCTATGGCGAAAATGGAGAAATACGAGCTACCTTCCCTGCCCTCAAATGAGCTTACAATCATTCTCACTTCTACCATTTGGTCAGCAATTGGAAAGAATTCAAAATAATCCCAAATAAAATACTCCATTTCAGTGAATTATCTATCAGAAATCAGAAATCATCATCAGCTAAGTGCTAATATACTTAGGCACAGTTGCTTTCTCTACAGCACTAATCGATATTTACTAATATGGCAAGTATTACTGGAACATTCTTTATAACCTATTATCTCCAATGGATTCCAGTAAGGAAAATGCAGAAGTGCTGTGCTCATTCACTCAATAGACTTAAGTTCTACTTGATAGTTGTGCTTTGGCTAACTTGTTATTGCAACAAGTTTTCTAACTAAAAAAATAATCCCTCATATACATCAGCATGTTAACAGTGATCATTCCTGACATGGAATTATGGGTAGTATTTAGATTTCATCTTTTAAAGTTTGTATTTTCTGAAGTTTCTACAATGAAGATTTATGTATTTTATACTAAGAAAAAAGTAGTTAATAACAAAGGAATCCTTCTGTGCAATTATTGCCTAATCATTGTGTGTTACATTTAAGTACCTAGACAGAAAGTGTTACTTCACCAAAAAAAAAGTTTTTTACAAACTGATACCCAGAAAACTTGATCCATACTGATCCACTAAATAACTACCAGTTGAAATCAGCTATCAGTTTTTTTCTCCCACTGAGCTCCTAGGGGTGTGGTGATGGTTGTAAAAGTCACCTTTGGGACTCAGGACTTCCTCATGAGATGCTGGGGCCCAAAGTCCCTCCCCAACCCAAAGCCACTCTACACCAGTACAGCTGCCAACGAATGCCTCATGTCACTGAATATTTTTTTTTTTAAGTATTTGAAATCAGGGCCTTATAAATCAATTCAATACAACGTGTTTTTTTCATAAATTTATATGATAGTATGAATGACCTTTTGCTGCAGTTACTTTTATTAAGAAGAAATTTGAGAAATATCTATATTCTACAAGAAAAAAAATGAGGCAGATCTCAAAACAAAATTAGTATCCCTAACTGGTTTCTCAGAACTCTTTCTGGAAACTGGTGAGGTCTGCAGATCTGTCTCTAGTAGTGGATGGGAGTGGCATGTTTATTAATGTCAGTGGCACATTATTAAACTAAAAGGGTAATTTAATAAAGTGTGGATTGGCCTTTCTTCCCCCTTTGCAAGTTATTAAAGCCTGGCTCTGATGTCTGACTTCTTTCATTAGGCACAGGATAATGAGATGGTTGTTAGCTTTTAAGGTCTCAAATACTTGCCAATACATTTGCTGAGTGGTATTAAAGTAAAGCAAAAGGCCTCCAATTTGACTGTGTATGGATTAGTAATGCCAGGGAGTTCCCAACTTTTGTTTATAATAACAGGAACTGGAAAGAGAAATCCCACACCTGTCAGCTGCTCTGTGAGATTACACTGATTCTCCTTTGGCAATTAAAGCCTTGAGATTACAACGAAACACTCACAACTTTATAAACTCTGAGGAGGTGAGAAGCTGACAGTTTTAGACTAAAGGACATCTTGTAAGCAAACACTTTCAACGTTTCAAACACAGCCATGCCTTGCTATCTGGTGTGAGGAGAGAGAGGAGAGAAGAGAGGATAATTCTCTTTTTACCTTACAAATGTGTGTGGGCAAATGAATGGCTTTATAATGTCCACATTGTTGGCCTTTGTTCAGAATTCAGAATTGGATCACCAAACTATCTTTATGAAAATGGGATACCTGTAATCTTTAACAAGCCATTATATTTGCCAAAAAAAGGAAATAACTAGGGTTATTTGACCATGACCATCCAATATTCTTTGATTAGTTAAATGTGGAAAAAACATTTTCCTTTAAAAGCAATTTTTAATTCAAGGCCAAGTTTGGAATAAAGCATTTGTTAAGAGTGATGTAGGTGTTTTGACTGCTCAAAACATAAGAGCTCTTACTCCAAAGTCTAAATGAAAAAAGCAGTAAGGCAACAGGATGACCACTCATTTCTATCCTGTGGTTCCCCCACAGGATTGGCACTTCTGGCCAAGAGTTGTGGAGTGTGGTCGGGTATAACTTAGATTTGCAACTGGCACCCCCTGCTGGTAAATGCAAATGTTCACTCTCTACTGGGGATGCTAGTTGGGAAACTGGTTCACCATTTCCCTCCCAGTTAGGTACAGAAAATAATAAAATTATCATAATTAACAGGACATAAACTGGCTACAAAGTGGCTGCATAGCACCCCAGGGATAAAAAAATCCAGCCCTGACGGCTGTTTTTCTATTAATTCATTATGACAGCTCAAGCCTGTGCATTTATATCTGGGGGCAAAACTGAACAGCTTCTTTCAGGTCTGGGGACTTAGTATCAGAATACATTTTGCTCTGTTAAGACTGTCAGTCTGGGGAGGGTGATAGTGGGGTAAGGGATAAAAACTTACCTATTGGGTACAATGAGTACTATTCTGGTAAAGGGCACTCTAAAAGCCCTGACTTCAGTATTATACAATGTATCCATGTAACAAAAACCATTAGTACCCACTTAATATTTTGAAATTTTACAAAAGTATCAGTTTTAGGCAAAATAAAAAAATTCTAACATAGGAAATGATAAATTAGTGGTTTCACATGAACTTTTCACAGTACAAGGGCTATGTAACTAGTTGTCATTTGTGTTTTAAAATGTAGATATGTAAATATACACTTATATTTTAGCATATATATATAGCCAGGCATATACATATACCTTTTTTCTGGAAGTATACATTAGAAACTTTATTATTTGTTCATGGAAGGGACTACAGGATATGAGAGGGAAAACTTCACTGCCTATTTTATACCCTTCTGTATTTGACTTTTACTGCAGGTATTTATTACTTTTTTTTTTAATTAACAGATTATTTAGGTGGAATATTTAAATTTGGAATATTCAAATATTATGGAATATTTTAATTTTCTTTATAGGTTTTTAATTTAAACACTCAATATTATCTAAAAGAATAAAAAACAAAGTTTCTGGCTGGGTGTGGTGGCCACACCTATAATCCTAACACTTTGGGAAGCTGAGACAAGAGGATCACTTGAGGCCCCCAGGAGTTTGAGAACCGCCTGAGCAACAACATAGTGCAACTAGGTCTCTACAAAAATAGAAAAATTAGCCAGGTGTGCTGCATGCCTGTAGTCCCAGCTACTTGGGAGGCTAAGGCAGGAGGATCCCTTGAGCCTAGGAATTTAACCCTGGTGACCGAGTGGAACCCTATCTCTAAAAATAAAAAATAAACAATACGGAACACTTTTAGTTGGAACTATATAATGCTTTTTGAGAAAGAGTTCTTTCAAGAATGACTTCTGAATAGATCTCTTTTACATATGTTGGAGATTTTTTAAAAAGACAATCCACCCAACAGAGAATGGACCTTTATGCCTCTTGATTAAATTATTCCTTCCATTATATTTCAGTGCTTGATACAAAGGACAATTCTACTTATTAAGGTGAACATCCATATTTTACACTAAGCCCTAACATTTTCTACTTACTAGACATCTGTATAAAAATGTCTTCTGGGCAGGAAAAAAACCTATGGATAAAAAAATGTAGCTTGAAAGATAAGTTATGTCAGTTCCTGATTTATAGAATTTTCTGACCTAAAAATATTGCTGTTTTTGGAAATACACCAAACATACAGCTTTTCATTGAGCTTGAACAGTCTTGACTTTAAAATGGATTTTCTTCAATGTCCCGGGTAGGACTGGTGTGGCATTACACAAATTCATATTTTAAATGTATTTTTTTTTTTTTTTTTGACACGGAGTCTCACTCTGTTGCCCGGGCTAGAGTGCCGTGGCATCATCCTAGCTCACAGCAACCTCAAACTCCTGGGCTCAAGCAATCCTTCTGCCTCAGCCTCCCGAGTAGCTGGGACTACAGGCATGTGCCACCATGCCCGGCTAATTTTTTCTATATATTTTTAGTTGTCCAGTTAATTTCTTTCTATTTTTAGTAGAGACGGGGTCTCGCTCTTGCTCAGGCTGATTTCGAACTCCTGAGCTCAAACAATCCGCCCACCTCAGCCTTCCAGAGTGCTAGGATTTAAACCTATTATTTTTTAATGAGTTAAATATAAATGGGAACCCTTGGCATTTATTATTCATTTAATGATTCAACAATATTTATCAAGTATCTATCATGTTCTGTTAAAGGAGCTAAACACCTGAATTCAAAGATACATAAAACACAGTGCTCGCTCTCAATCCAGCATCTTTACTTTGCAGAAAGGATGATATCATCTACTCAAGGAACTGTTCTTGTTATCTATCTTAACACTTTAAAGTCAGAAGCATAAACTATTATTAAAATCAGAATAAAGATGATATATTCTTCCCTGTATCCTATATTCTTATCATTAATTATAGATCATCTTAGTATCACTTTAATGTAGCAGCTAGTTAATTCATCTGAGCAGTTACCTTAGAAATACATATTTACAAGTAAGATAAAGAAACCAAATGTTTCCAGAATTCTATTCTAATATTCACAAACAAAAGGTACTCAGTGCTGGGCAAGTTAGTTATTATTGTTATTATTATTATTATTATTATTATTCACATACAATCATTTACCAAATCCCTTGCCAACTTTGGAAGAATTCCTAAAAACTGTATGGTGCCTCATTGTAACACTGAAATATTATAAATGCTTTTAAAATCTTGGTTTCTTAGCTCCTTTCCACATCTAAAGGCTAATATTAAGTCACAGCCATCTAAAAAAGAATAAGGCCCAGGGGATAGACTCCACCTAGGCAACAAATCTCATTTTAATTCTTGTTGTTTATTGCCTCTGAAATACATTTAAAAGTTAATTAATTTGAAATACCTTTAATGTTATTCAAAAGGATAACACCAATTGAAAAAATCTCACCTAAGTGTAAAAATCAACAGCTGAATCAAAATGGCACATGGAAAAGGTATAGCCTTTCATTGTGAAAAATGCCTAATTGTGCAATAGCACCAGAGTTTCAATTCCTTTTCTTAACATATTTCATACACCGTGATAAATAAGGATCTGTGGTATTAGACAGCCTTAAAGGTGAGAAGGTAATTAAATGACATACTCTCTAAGGTCCCTATCAGCTCTAAATTCTGTGACAGCACAGAAATAGCAGGTAGAGTTTGTCCTGTTGATTTGTTGTTGTTCATTCTTATTTCCTTATAATTATAACTGTGTGACTTTATTATCATTAATTTTCTAAAATTTACTAACTCCTTTCTCCAGCCATCTGTACCTAAAGGTTTATACTTTCTTTTCAGGGTCTCATTTTCTATATTGAATGGACCCATTGCCACAATGAAGAAAATCACCCTCACACTCTTAAATGATCATATACCCTAATTTTTATTGGCTCTGGCTATTGTGGTTTTAAAAGTATAACTATTCTAAGTAGCTAAGAAAATTATTTATGGCTTAGCAGTTTTATGGAACAATGTAATCAAGAACATAAAAACAACATTCTCTTGGTTCCAGCAGTCTACCAAAAACCACAGTCCTTGTGTAAAACGTATCGATGTAGAAAGGTAAGATCCATAACCACAAGCTTCACTACATTTTTGTCTTCTCTGTTACAACACACTGTGCCCATTCACCCTTCTCTCACCAGGCCTATCTATGTGGCTGCTGAAAGGTCCACAGCTTCTCCTGTTTCTTCTTCTTTCGTTTCAGCCCCTTCACTCACTTTCTCATTCTCCATCTCTGTTTCCATCTTTTCCCCTGTCTCACCTGGAAAATAACCAAAGGAGGTATTAAGAGACACTCATTTATCATTAACAATAAATTACCCCACAGTTTGTTTCTGGCAGGGCAGTTCTTGATGTTTAGGTCTGAGCAGTAAGTTTCTCTGACGGTATCCAGAAAGGCCATCACCTTGATGCTCTCAGGGTCTCTGAATGGCTAATGTCAAGTCACTTAGCAGCCCGAGTCTTGGCATACTCTTAGAAAATAAATTTTCCCTATAAAATCAGGATGTGAAATTACACAAGAAATGGCAGCAGAACATATTACAATAGAAAGTTTCATTTGTATCTAAATCAAAAGGTGGTCCAGAGATGGCCCCAAACCTTTCTTGTTTGACCATTATAGTGTTTAAAGAAAACAATTGTTAAACATTTAAAGACTGCCAACATTTACAAGTCTGGACATTGTATGTACAAATCTGCTTCCCTGAGAAGTCGGTTTTGGCAACACTGGCCCCCGTTCCTGTAGCTGGAGCTGCTGAACCTTGTTCACCAGGGTCCCCGGGGCTCCCCTCACTTCACTCACTTGCAGCATCTTGATCCTAAAGGCTTTTGAGTTTGCCCACCCTGGTCTAAAACATATCTGCTTTCACTTGCCTCTCCCATGTTGTTCCCAGAGCACTTCTGCACACCTTTATTAAAGCATCTGCCCGAACAGATTGTGGGGACGCGTTTGCATTCTGCCTCCCCCACTAGACTGTGAGCCCCTGGAGGACAGGGACTGTCTCTTAGTCTGCTTCTCAGCACCTCGAGTTTGGGTAGGCACACAAAGAATGCTGAGTTAATCAATGAAAAAATTAAAGAACAGGTGGGTGATTATAAGTAATGTCTCACTTAATTATACTGTACTATGAAGCTAAAATTTACCAAAATGTAAATCATGCCCCAGAAGAAAATATTTATTTTTTTATTATAACACCAATAAAGAAGAGTATAATTTGTTTTATGCTGGTAGAACACATCTAAAATTTTAAAACCCATATGCCAAGACAAAATACATTTTTCTCAAGTCTTCTCATAAAGATCAAAAGACTACAGAAGAACAGGAGAAGACTGACAGTCATTTTCTAAAGCTAAGATTGGCAAAAACGGGAATAACATTCTCATTCTAAGATCCATTATTTGCATATTCTTTTATTTGAAGGTCAATTCCTCCACTAACTATCTATTCACCTTTACTTTGGATCCTCATACCATACATGAGGGCTGATGAACAGTGAACTTGGAAAAATTCAGAAATTTTAAACATGTTGCCTTCAGTGTTTAACACTATTTAACCATCAGACTGTATGTTAAGAGTTCGCACTTTAGAAAAGTTTTACTGGCAAGCTGAACTGAGCATTGATGGAACGCCTGTTTCTCAGGAATGGAAGCCTTTTTGGTTAGGTCAAATGACCTTTACCAGCTTAAAGAGACGTCAGCGACTGTGTCAGTCATCCCTCCCCCAGAGCTGGTCTCCTATGGAGCACATCTGAACATCCTGAATGTCTGACAGCATAACTTTTACCTTCGATGTGTTGGTCCTCTTCATTAGTATGAATTTTTCTGACCGGAATTTCCACACCAGCCCCTGTCTCTGCAGCTTCTGCTGGATGCTCCAAGCTTCCAACTATTCCTTCAAGTCGAATCTGCTCCAAGTTTCCTGGACCTTCAGGAGTTTTACGGAGTGGATCATTCATTACAGGTGTTGCCACAAGCTGACTCCTGTCCAAGACTTCTGGTGTTACATGGTCTTTGGGAATTGTTTCTAGAAGCTGAGACTGCTCCTGTGTTCCCAGTGTTCCCTGAAGTTGCTGCTCTTCAGCTATTTCCACAGGCTGACTGCCTTCCAAGATTTCTGGAGATTCATTCTCTCTGGGTATTGTTTCCAGAAGTTGGACCTGCTCATCCTTTTCCATCGCTTCTTGAGGTCGCAGCTCTGTAGCTGTTTCCAGAGGCAGAATGTTCTCAGCTGTTCCTAGAAGCATCATCTCTCTGGCAGTTGGTGGATTCTCAGCACCTTCCACCACGCCAGGGGAGTCCCTCTCTCCTCCTGTCCTCAAAGGCTGACCCTCAGCTTGTGTTCCTAAAGGTTCAGCCTCAGCATTTTCTTTTAAAGGCTGAGCTTCTGTCACTGCTTTCACATCTTTCTTCTCTTCTTCTGCTCCCGGGGTGGTATCATCTTTGCCACCTGGTCCCTCTATAGGCTGAGTCTTCTCCGTGCATTCTGAGTGTTTTGCGGCATCCTTTCCAGGGGCTACATCTTCTGCCAGGGGCTGTTCACAGATGGATTTAACACCATTAGCTGTAGATACTGCTGAAACCTTGAGTTTTTCTAATGGAGGAAGGCTTTCCCTTTGTCCATTGTCATACAAAGTAGATTCTCTTCCCAGCATACATGGCTTTGGTTGGGCAAAGCAGGACTCACTTTTTTCTGGGGTTGAAAAATGTTCATTTGAAGATAATTTTTGATCATACATTTGAAAAAGAAAAGAGAAAACACAAATTATTGTTTAGTTTTATCTTAAGAAAGTGAGCTGATATCAAGAAGTAGATTTAACAGTTCAAGATAGTCCCAGGTACATCTGAGTACAGAAAGGCCATACCATGACCCTAACACTCTCCAAGCCAAATCCCTTTACTGTCTGTGGTTCAGACACCTCATCCTATTTCTGGAGTCCTCCAAAACCACAGTTTTCTCCTGTCTTCTTGTGCAACTTCTCATGGTTCCTGTCCCATATTCTATTAATAATTTAGCATATTCCACTTTGTTTCTCATGTTCTCTTCCCTATCTCAACGTTTCTCCTCTTCAGACTTAGTGGAAGGTTTCACGATTTGTGTTCCTTGGGCTGCTAGAGAGGTCCTTCTTTCCTCCTACTGCAGAATGGCCCCCAGTAAAGAGAAAAGCCCCATGGTGGAGAAGCCCTAGCAGGTGAAGGCTAAGAAATCTGGGAAGGGAAGTGGTAGGGACAGTTCATCCTGAGTTTCACGTCAGGGACACAGTGAGAAAAGAAATCAAGAGAGAGTCGGGAAACATCCATGTTATTTCCGGTTCTTCCTCCGACTGTGTGACCTTGGAAACTTAGCCCCCAGTGATCTTGTCTCTAAAACAGCAGTGAACCTCTCTCTCTCTCACCTATCTCAGAGTTGCATGAGACACCCTGTTATATTAAACAGTGGATACGAAAGTGCTCTGGACAGTTTAAGAGAAGCATCTTGGCAACACATGTATACTCTTTGACCCATTTCTTCTGGAAATTTACTCTAAAAGCATAAACCTCAGGGAAATGCTTTGGGGGGAAAATATGTTATCTCAGTATTCTTTATAATAGCAAAACCTGGAAAACAATTTAAGAGTCAAGTTGGGGAACAGATAAATATTCCACTGGATGGAATATAGTTGTACCATGAAAAAAGATGATTATGAAGACCAAATGCTAAAATAAGAAAATAATTATGATATAATAAGTTAAAAAAATCACTCATGGTTGGGTTGATCAAATGAAATAATGCATATAAAGTGTTTATTATCCCAAAGTCTGCTGTGCAATAAGATAGCTATCAATTTTATATACAGTATGATTGCAGCAATGTTGAAAGAAAGGGTGGGAGGGGGGGAGAAAGAGAAGAAAAACAAATTACAAATAGAGGCAGGAAAAGACTAGAAGAAAATAAACCAAATCTTAAAATAGTCTCTAGGTGATATTTTCCCTCTTGTATCTTTTTTTCCCAAAGATTGTTTTTCTCTTTTCCCTAAGTTACCATCTACCCCAGTTATATATGCATGTAGTTTAAAGAGTTACTACTTATCTAACAGAAGTTAAAGACAGGTAACACTTGGGTATCCTCTCCCATTTCCCCCTCTCTAGGGATAAATATTTCAATTCTTTTAGCTCTTTTGGAGGGATATTTTTTCTATACTGCTAAATGAATTGTACTTCAGGATTTTTCTGTTTGGTGTATTTCAGTTGCCTCTGATGGAAGATAAAGCCTTAGCTCCTTTTCTACCCACCTCCACCACCTACCACTCTCTCCCTTTACACATTGACATTTCCTTTCCATTCAGCAATTGTATATTAAGTATTTAAAATGCAATTTGGATCATATCAATATTCAGTTATATGTACACAGAATGACCATGTCTGCTATGAGGAACTGAGCCATGTACTAAGCCATTACTTTGTGTAAACAATTTTTTCTTTTTCTCCAAGTTAATAACTGTCATGGTTTTTCCTTTCCTTAGTGTGTATGTTATCATTCACTGAACTCACTGCTGATTCTCTTTTAACACATTTATTCATAACAAATACCTGTCCATTTCATTTTTATGAAGAAAATGAAAGACTTACTGAGATACCTGGTGCCACCAACCCCTGAGCTTTTTAAGGATCCTGTGGCCTCAGAGCCACAACTGTTTAAAAAAAAAGTTAAAAAAAAAAAAAAAGAATCTTGTGGTATCTGAGTAGTTCTCAGTTTTCTCTCCTGTTAACATCCAGTGGAGATTCCTTGGTATGCTATGTGAGTTATCACATGTCTATGTGCTTTCTGAATTCCCATATTGTTCTATTATTGTCTTTTCTGATATTCTTCCCATCCTTATGGATTTCAACTGTTTTTAAAAATCTCTTTACTGTCATTTTAGTGCATTTCAGGAAGGCACAAAATGAGATCCACATCTTCAATCTGCCACCGTCATCAATACATCCAAGAATGCTTTAATGATTATTTATAATGGAAAAAGTAAAAATTTTCAGATGAATACATAAGATGTATATAAAAGCAGTTTACATATAAAGGTGAAAACCACAGGCTCTGCTCTCTGGTATTGCAGAGTCATGCAAAGCCATCAGAAGCAGTAAACTAACAAAAACAATGCCATACAATAAATTCTGTGACAAATGCAAGAGGTCACACATGAGTTGAGTGTTACGGGATCATTTCTGTGAGTTCCAGAAGGAGAATGCACCGGGGAGCCTGGAGCCAAACTTGGAAGGACAGTGTGGCTGCAGGCTGGTACAGGAGCCACATGGCGGAGGTTCCTGTAGGTGGCGCTAAAGGGGTTAGAAGTTATCCTGAAGGCATAAAGAGCAAGAATTGTGAGCAGGGCTTTTTTTTTTTTTTTGCTTTTTTTTTCTTTCTTTCTTTCTTTTTTAATACAGGATCTCACTCTGCCACCCCAGGTAGAGTGCAGTGGCATTATCATAGCTCACTGCAACCTCAAACTCCTGCGCTCAAGCAATCCTCTTGCCTCAGCCTCCCAAGTAGCTGGGACTACAGGTGCATACCACCACACCCAGCTAACTTTTTAAAAATTTTTTGTAGAGACGGGGTTTCACCATTGCCCAGGCTGGTCATGAATTCCTGGCCTCAAGCTATCCTCCCACCTCTGCCTACCAAAGTACTAGGATTACAGGTGTGAGCCACCGTGCCCTGCCAGGGCTTTCTTAAAAAGTTAAATAAATATACGTGCACCATATAGCTCAGCCATTTCACTCCTAGGTATTTTCCCAAAAGAAAAGAAAGCATATGTCCATACAAACACTTGAACACAAACGTTCACAGCAGCTCTATTTGCAATAGCCCAAACCTGGAAATAACCCAAATTTCTATCCATAGGTGAATGACTAAGGAAATGTGGTACATCCATGCCATAAAATACTACTCAGCAATAAAAGAAGAAATGAACAATTGATAAATGCAACAACATGGATGATTTTCAAAATAGTTATGCTGAGTGAAAGACAAAAGATCACATACCATATGATTCCATTTATATAAACTCTAGAAAATGTTAACTTATATAAGTGACAGAAAATAGAACAGTGGTTGTCTGGGGACTGGAATCAGAGTGGGACAGGAGGGGGGGATTTCAAAGGAGCATAAGAAATCTTCGGTGGTAATCGAGATGTTTCACCACCTTCATTGTGCTGATGCTTCCGCGGGGGCACACATATACCATAATTTACTAAAAACATGCACATTACAAATATGTGCAGTTTATTATATGCCAATTATACCTCTAAAAACTGATTATTTTTACATATAAAAATAAATAAAAGAAAATGGAAAAAAAGGATTGTCAGCAAGGGAGTGATTCAACCAGATTTAGATTTTTAAAACCTCCCTCTGGACAATAAATTAGAGGTGGGCACACAGAAGTCAATGTAACCAGTGACTTCTGCGAAGTAAAAGTGGCTGGACAGAATGACGATTCAGGGGACGAGCAGAGGGAGAGGGAGGGTCTCAGGTAACACTGGTTGATAGCTTGGATGCTACAGGGAGAAAATATGGGATGAACGGATTTGGGATAGAGAGAGACATGAATTGTTTGGGTTGGGGCATGTTGGAGATGGCTGTAGATTGTGCATCCTGGTGGCAAAGTCCAGGAGGCAGGTGGACATATGGATCTTGGCTGGAAATATTTGTGACAGGCTGGAGTTGAGCTATCTATCTTATTAACACATTTGTTTTGTATCTTGAGAAAGGGGTATTTTTTGCATAAAGGCTCCTGTGAGGAGGGGTAATGAAGAGAAAGGTGGTGTGGGTGTGTGGGTGTGTGTGTGTGCGTGTTACAACACCTGTACCCCCAACCCTGTTTCGGGGAATGGGTGTGAATCCTCCTGGATCACAGCCAGGGGCAGAGAAGCAGAGCTCAGAAGCAATCTTAAGAGATGCAGGGCACAGCCTTCAGGGGTTCACACGTCAGAATTGGGAAGAGGGCTGTCCTTCACCCCCCACCCCTGCGTAATCATGAATGAAGGTTTCAAATTAATAGCAGGTAAGGCAACTTAATAAAGGTGATGTCTGAGGTCTATGAAGGAATTCATCATGACAGGAAAATCTATTTACATACCACACGAAGGATGTTCTGGTGATAACTGCTTTAGGGAGTTAACCAGGAAATGTGTTAATGCACTAATCACAGATGTCTGACAAATTATATTTCCTGGTAAAATAGTTATTACAGTGATTAGTATCGTCAGTTAAATGACATGAACCATTTTCATCCACCTGGGCCAGTCATGGGTACATTCTAAAGACATCATTCTTCTGGAGCAGAAAGTTGTAGGGGGAAAAATGTGTCAACACATCCAAAACATAGCCAAGTAATTTTATGTTATTAAAAATATAATATGCTACAAGTCTAAGTTAAGTGTTTTTCCCCAAAAAGCTTCATGAAAATTTATTTTTCCACAGATGATGTCATAAGTGTCCAAGTGATCTGTTAATTTTTGCCATAGCTAGAACATTTATGCCCATGATCACAGTGTCCATGTTCATTCTCATGTATGTTTCCCAATCTTTTCGCTACACTGGAAGGAGGAAAGTATCCTTAATATATCATTTTATAAAACACAACCCGGAAATAGTCAATCAAGCTGGGAAACATTACAAAAGGATGTCGCTGTCTTTAATATTTTTCTGGGGTATCCCAAAGGAGATAAAATACCTTTAAAATGATCACAAAAAATAGATAAA